AATAATTTAGATTGGTGCCGTGGATGGAGAAAGCTTTATCTGGCTCTGCTCCGGAATTTATTGGGTTCGCCTTCGGCTCACCCAATAAAATTCCTCCGCCTCGCCAGATAAACTTTCTCAATCCACGGCACCAACCTATTATTTCTCTATATGTATTTTTACTCCTTTAAAGTCCCTGTGTAACCTCAAAAACTTTAATAGTCTAATGCATGTTTAATATGATAAACCTGATACTCAAAATAAAGAAATTACCCAATATTACAAATCTTACATAGATATTATCGAAATTTAACAAGTTCTGTAAATAAAGGGAGGGTAATTAAAAAACACATTTTTGATAAAAACTTTGCCTATTCTTCATTAAAATAAAAAAAGTGTATTATTTTTAAAAGAAAAAACTTATAAAGAACCTAAAAAAATTATGTGTTATTTCAACATTTTTCTGCTATGTTCATTTTTGTTGTAAGGAAAAGGTGATATATATATTCTTGCTTAAATGTCCTGTTTTTATAATTAAGGATGTAACATCCTTGCGAAAGTTTGAATATAAAGTCAAGTTCTTATGAAAAACATATACTTAAGAAGTTGACATTATTAAACACATTAATATGAAATTTCTTGAGAAAAAAGGTTTGTTGAAATTTTTTATTGGAATGTAAAACTGATTTTTTTTTACCGCAAAAACAGATTTCTAATTATCTCCTTTTTTATCGGGAAATTTTTTAAACTTTTTTGGCAATATCCTTATCAAAAAGTTTTCTGTAACTTTTAACATTGTTAATTCTTTTATTTTAAGCCAAAGATGTTTCATATAAGAAACATAAAATTTTGAGTCACAGGATCTTTAAGTGTATGTTACATCCTTTAATTTATCACACACCCGTTTGCCGATTTGCGACTCCGTAAATATGGTCAATCACCCTACGCAGTGATCTCCCCTTGTAAACAGGATTAGATAAAGTAGCAAAGCGTGACCTAACCGCTCGTGAGGAGTTTGAAAATAAATTATGGTATTGCACGGCCGTGCATAATTTTGACGTTTTACCCTCATTTGCGTTTATACAAACATAGGGGGAAAAAACGCGCTAAATGTTTTGCGTTATACTAAGGCCCCTGTTATGAAAAAAAGGGCCTTTTTTTACTTTTAAAAAGGGGCTTTATTTTTGGGATTTGATAAAATAGAATATTAAATTCCCTTTTAACTTCATTTACTGAAATTTAAATTTCACTCGTTTTAAAAAATAATATAAGAGCCGGAGAGCCTTTGTTTAAAACTAATTTTTTTCAATCGTGCAATAAATTTAATTGAACCACCCCATTCCCCAAAAAATCCTTTTATATAACAACAAAGGAAATTTTAAGTCCAATCAACCAAATTTTGGGTTGGTATTTTGCAAATATTTACTAAAGTTTTAGAAGATGAGGATTTTATTTAATATTTCCACAGAACCGAACATTACCCTTCATCTATTGCTTATAAGCAATTCGTCATAAGGTATGAAAAATAGGGACTTCTGATTGCTCAAACATTTGGGAACGAAAATTTGTGGAATTTAAAGTTCAGCTTGATCGGGATAAACATAGTGAGATTATCCATGAAAACGGAGGTAACCAAAAAAGCCGCCTGCTCAATGCTTTCGTTTTGCAATTCTGATGAAACCACATGAAAAGTTCCCGGCGTCAATTGCGTTCATTTTGGGAAAATTCGCCTTAAAAACGAATAATTATTACTCCAAAAATACGGAAATAGAAAAAGAACTGGGTTTTGGTTTTGATCTGAGGAATATGTTTAATTTAAAGAACCTTAAGAGCTCGATTACAAATGGGTTTAGAAAGTGTTTGCCTTGGATGTCAAGTTATTGCTATCAAAGAGGCCGATTTCCAAATTTTTTGTGACTTTTCTTCGTGTGCACGTTGTCGATTTAATGAGTTCTTAATAAGTTAACGACAAAGATTTGGCTAGTTTGAATGCCTGTCGGATAAATAATCATACGAGATCAGAATAGGCTATAAAGTTTTGTGAAATATGCATTTTCAAAGAAATTGAAGACAATTTTCTTACCACAGTATCGGTTTTCCACCTGTAAAATTGATCTCTTCATGCGTTCTCCGCCTGGGAAACATAGTGAACGATTGGACTCGGTGAATTGGGAGAGCGAAATGGAAATATACACGGCGAAGTTTTCGCCTGAATCGCCCTTCCGGATGAGCCCTGTACATGTACATTATAATTATAATTATGTAAATAAAATAAAATGATAGCAAGTTTATGTGTCCTAACATATATAACAGGGGCATCTGTGTCTTTCAGACATATTTCTAGTTCTGTTATTGAAAGGTGAAAAATTTAAAAATCTCTTCCATACAGTGCTAAAATTAATCATGTTTTGTAAATGAGGGAAATTTTCATCTCAAAGTTGTGATACATGATGCTGCATGATAGTTAGAGTATATGAGACAGTGTGAGACATCATTCATGAATAAATAATGGATGGTGAAGTAATTAACTGATGAAAATTTCCAGTACTTGACACAATTTGTGTCAATAATAGTTCATTATTTCAGTGTACAAAGGTTTAAATAATAAAAACATTCAATTATCAGGGTTTTACCCGAAGATAGAAAGAGAGAAAAGGAATTATTGCATGTTACCTTTCTTTTTCCGTATCGCAGTTCACAGATTTTCGTAATTAAGTTACTGTATAAAATATTCATTAATATGCCAATATACATGTACATGTAATATATGTATAGTCATAAATATTTTCTTATGATCTGTGTGAGAGTGTATAATTATTGATCATTGAAAAATGAATGTATTATTTAAAGGAAGCATAAATAAACAAGCCTTAAGAAAGAAGAAATTTTGAACTTTTTCTTGATGCTGAGATAAACATAATTCCCATTGCAATGCACTTTTAGGTCAATCTTCAATATTAATGTTTGCTTTACATGTATATAAGACTTTGGATCGATCAAGGATTATCATTGTCACAAAAAACATATGTCTACTTCCCTGCGTGGGTTAACATTTATAGAAAATATAGAGATAGTCTCAAAAGTGAATGTACATGTAGTTTAAATTTGTTATATGTCTGTCTGTTTTGTCTTACATGAGGTTATTTATTATCAAGATATGAAAAAAATGCCAGTCTCAGACAGCTATTTTGTCATTTAATCACAGGTTCTAAGAATTGGAAATTTACAGACATATATTTCATTCGTAGAAGTCGATTTTATTCTTTAGGGAATTAAAAAGTGTCGATAAGACTGGGTTATGTAATAAGTGCTACAGTTGCTATTGTATTGATTTTTGGAACTAGTTGATTTGAGGGGGAAAACATTTATTTGATTTTCTTTCCTGCAGCGAAATCATTTAATTAGGTTTTGTTGAATCCGATAATTGTCTTGTGACAATACCATATTTAGCAATTTGCAAGTGACTAGTCATTTATACATGTTTTATAAATTTAAGGTACGATAAATGTTAACAAATATAGTGTTAAAATCATCTTTGATGTTAGATATAGTGCCTAAAGATTTTGAAATGGAAGTGTTTGCCTTTGGAATAGAGATATCATTCTGATATACATGTATGTCCGTGGTGAATCTAATTTGTTTCGTAAAATACCGTAAAATTCTTAACAAACACCCCTTCCCTAATAGGCTTTTTCATATGGAAAAAATCTACTCATCAGTGCTGAACATATGAGTATATCCATAATTTTAAATCAAACCCTTCAGAATCCATTTTATTTTATAGTAAACACAAAAATATATCATATGAACCTTAAAACCTTAACACTTTTTAATGTTATTACCAACACTTGCTAACACTAAATGTAGTTTCAATGATTTTTGGATTTAGGAAAAAATGTGTTGTAATAATAGCCCCCCTTTTGGAAAATGTTAAGCCACCGGGGGTGTTTAAACAGGATTTTACAGTATGCTCTGTGCTTACGGTTGAGCTATGCTGTCTTTCAGCTCATCAGAACTGAATGTTCTTGGTCAGCTATTGGTATGATATGGGTGGGGGTGGGGGTGTAGGGGTGTCTGTTGCCTGGCGTCAACAATTTTCTTCAAACAACATAAATTATCCTCATAAACCTTACCAGGCCAATGAACCTTTACCTATTGTTAGTGTTTCAGGTTGATTTGGCCATGGTCATCAAGGCAAATAATAGAATTTTTTCTTCTCCCTATGTTATCAGTCATGTTTTTAGCTTTGTTATGGTGACATTGTTGGATATTTATTGGTGTTACAAACATTCCTTGTGCTAACATTATCTATGTATGATATAAGGTTGGTAAAATTTGTGCTAGCTATAGATTGATCAAATTAATTCTTGCAAACACAGTCATGTTTGTTGTTTAGCAGACGGCATCCATAATCATTATCATAGTGAACATCGAGTACACAAAATGACTAATGAAATTTTTTGTAAAAAATATATTACTCATAGATAATGATGACACAAATAAGATATTATTTGCAACATATTTCTATAATAGTTGTTTGTGTTTATTTTTGACCTGTAAACAGGTGGTCATAGCATAGCAATCAAACTTAACTAACACAATTGCCAGTATTAACACAGAAATACAAATAACAAAGTTGATATACTCAAACTTGCTTGAAAATTGTATAAAGTAATTTAAGGCATAGCATAGGTTAGTATAGCATAGCAAAGGTAAGCATAGTATAGGTTAGCATAGTATAGGTTAGCGTAGTATAGGTTAGCATAGTATAGCATAGGTTAACATAGCATAACATAGGTTAGCATAGCATAGCATAGGCTAACATAGGTAAACATAGTATAGGTTAGCATAGTATAGGTTAGCATAGTATAGCATAGCATAGCTATTGCTTTGAATTTTGAAGGACATAAAAATATTATGAAAGAAGCTTAAATAATTAATATTTTCATACATTTTAGTTCTTTTACCAAACATATAATCTAGCAATAATGAATGATTTTTGTTGGATAATTTTGTTACAGTATGCGTGTTTCTTGGTGTTAGTGTTTGTGGTGGAACTGAGCGCAGGAGTGACTGGATTTGTCTACAAGAATAAGGTAACATCTGGCTGACTGTAATATTAATTTACCTATTGCAAAACATATTGAATTCTTGAAGCTCTTATACACCTTCCCAGCATTTAATATATTATCTGGCTAATGATAATTCTAAGTGATATCAATATCAAAATGCTGTTAAATAGTAATCAAACTGTGAGTATTATAATATGAAGTGCAGAGATTCTTATTGAATTCTTTATCACATAGCTGGAATTGAATTTTTCCAACTTTTGTTTAAACATATTTTATTCATCACATACTAGAACATATTTTTACACAACATTTACAATCAATACAAAACTGGATTAGACTGGAAGTAGCCTACTGTTTATTGAAGTCTTTTTCCAATGTATATTTTTTAGTATTTATACCAGAGATGGTGAGGTTTTTTGTCATTTGTTGACAAAGAAGGCTTCTAACATCGCAAACTTCCAGATCTAAATATTGAATTGCCAATAGTTGAGATTACGTGATTTCAATTATGTCAGAATAACTAAAACCTAGAAGTCAATATAATTTCATGGAGGCAGATGTGTAGGCTGCAATCCTGTACAGTGTACTGTTGGCGTAGGCAAGTTGTTACTGCCGCAAGTGCATTGATATTAATCCTGCGTCAGTTAGAGGGGTTTATTTTTTTTTCAATATCTGCATCTCTGTTTTTAGCTCACCTGTCACAAAGTGACAGGGTGAGCTTTTGTGATCGCTTTTCGTCCGGCGTCCGTCCGTCCGTCTGTCCGTCGTCCGTCCGTCGTCCGTCCGTAAACTTTTACTTTAAATGACATCTCCTCATAAACCACTAAGCCAATTTCATCCAAACTTCACAGGAATGATCCTTTGGTGGTCACCTTTAAAAATTGTTCAAAGAATTTAATTCCATGCAGAACTCTGGTTGCCATGGCAACCGAAAGAAAAAACTTTAAATATCTTCTTTTAAAAAACCATAAGAGCTAGAGCTTAGATATTTGGCATGAAACATCTTCTAGTGAGTGTCTACCAAATTTGTTCAAATAAAAGCCCTGGGGTCAAAATTGGCCCCGCCCCGGGGGGTCATTGATTTTCCCTATATGCATATAGTAAAAACTTAAAAAAGCTTCTTTTAAATAACCCAAAGAGCTAGAGCTAAGATATTTAGCATGAAACATGTTTCTTATGGGTGTCTACCAAGTTTGTTCAAATAAAAGCCCTGGGGTCAAAATTGGCCCCGCCCCGGGGTGGTGGGGGGTCATTGATTTTCCCTATATGCATATAGTAAAACTTAAAAATCTTCTTTTAAAGAACCCAAAGAGCTAGAGCTAAGATATTTAGCATGAAACATTTTCTAATGGGTGTCTACCAAGTTTGTTCAAATAAAAGCCCTGGGGTCAAAATTGGCCCCGCCCCGGGGGGTCATTGATTTTCCCTATATGCATATAGTAAAAACTTAAAAAAGCTTCTTTTAAATAACCCAAAGAGCTAGAGCTAAGATATTTAGCATGAAACATGTTCTTATGGGTGTCTACCAAGTTTGTTCAAATAAAAGCCCTGGGGTCAAAATTGGCCCCGCCCTGGGGGGGGGGGGGTCATTGATTTTCCCTATATGCATATAGTAAAACTTAAAAAATCTTATTTTAAAGAACCCAAAGAGCTAGAGCTAAGATATTTAGCATGAAACATTTTCTAATGGGTGTCTACCAAGTTTGTTCAAATAAAAGCCCTGGGGTCAAAATTGGCCCCGCCCCGGGGGGTCATTGATTTTCCCTATATGCATATAGTAAAAACTTAAAAAATCTTCTTTTAAAGAACTCAAAGAGATATGGCTAAGATATTGAGCATCAAACATGTTCTAATAGGTGTCTACTAAGTTTGTTCAAATAAAAGCCCTGGGGTCAAAATTGGCCCCGCCCCGGGGGGTCATTGATTTTCCCTATATGCATATAGTAAAAACTTAAAAAAGCTTCTTTTAAATAACCCAAAGAGCTAGAGCTAAGATATTTAGCATGAAACATGTTCTTATGGGTGTCTACCAAGTTTGTTCAAATAAAAGCCCTGGGGTCAAAATTGGCCCCGCCCCGGGGGGGGGTCATTGATTTTCCCTATATGCATATAGTAAAACTTAAAAAATCTTCTTTTAAAGAACCCAAAGAGCTAGAGCTAAGATATTTAGCATGAAACATTTTCTAATGGGTGTCTACCAAGTTTGTTCAAATAAAAGCCCTGGGGTCAAAATTGGCCCCGCCCCGGGGGTCATTGATTTTCCTTATATGTGTATAACAAAAACTTAAAAAATCTTCTTTGAAAAAAAAATAGTTAGAGATTAGATACTAAGCATGAAACATCTTCTTGTGAGTGTCTACAAAAGTTGTTCAAATAAAAGCATGGGGTCAAAATTGGCCCCGCCCTGGGGGTCATTGATTTTCTTTATATGTGTATAGCAAAATCTTAAAATCTTCTTTGAAAAAACCCAAATAGCTAGAGTTTAGATATTAAGCATGAAACATCTTCTTGTAAGTGTCTACAAAGTTTGTTCAAATAAAAGCCCTGGGGTCAAAACTGGCCCGGCCCCAGGGGTGTCATTGTTTTTAACTATATGTGTATAGTAAAAACTTGAAAAAAATCTTCTTTTAAAAAGGCCAATGAGCTAGAGCTTAGATGTTTAGCATGAAACATCTTATGGGTGTCTACCAAGTTTGTGCAAATAAAAGCCCTTGGGTTAAATTGGCCCTGCAACGTTGGGGGGGGGGGCTATATACAGGTGAGCGACCTCAGGGCCATCATGGCCCTCTTGTTCCATTTCTTGTAGTGATTCTCACGTGTAATCATCAAAAAGCAATTATTGGGAAAACAGTAAATGTTTCAGTTTTATTGATTTGTAAACAAAGTAAATATGTTGTTTTGTTTCATAACGATGACACTTTATGCAGTCTGTTTAATCTCTAAACTGATAACTAAAGTACAAATGAATAATTATTTGTCATTTGTGGCCAGATTGCACAGGTGCAAACCCAGGATAAAGTATGGTGAATGTCAGGTGTCGGGTGGGAAATTTTTTATGCCCCCACAATGTGGGTGCATATAGCGTTGCACTTGTCCGTCCGTCCGTCCGTCCGTCAGTCCGTCCGTCTGTACGTCCCGAAATCTTGTGAACGCAACTCCTCTTAAACCAGATGGCAGATTTTGCTTAAACTTACAGGGATGAACAACCTTAATATGTAGATGGTAGTAAAGGAAGGAATTTTTGCTGTGACCAAATTTAACAGAATTATGGCCCTTTGTTGATTTTTTTACTAGATACTATATAGAAATTTTGTGAACGCAACTCCTCTTAAACCGGATGACAGATTTTGCTTAAACTTACAGGGATGAACAACCTTAATGTGTAGATGGTAGTAAAGGAAGGAATTTTTGCTGCGACCAAAAATAACAGAATTATGGCCCTTTGTTGATTTTTTCACTATATACTATGTAGAAATTTTGTGACCGCAACTCCTCTTAAACCGGATGGCAGATTTTGCTTAAACTTACAGGGATGAACAACCTTAAGGTGTAGATGGTAGTAAAGGAAGGAATTTTTGATGCGACCAAATTTTACAGAATTATGGCCCTTTGTTGATTTTTTCACTATATACTATGTAGAAATTTTGTGAACGCAACTCCTCTTAAACCGGGTGGCAGATTTTGCTTAAACTTACAGGGATGAACAATCTTAAGGTGTAGATGGTAGTAAAGGAAGGAATTTTCGCTGCGGCCAAATTTTACAGAATTATGGCCCTTTGTTGATTTTTTCACTATATACTATGTAGAAATTTTGTGAATGCAACTCCTCTTAAACCAAATGGCAGATTTTGCTTAAACTTCCAGGGATGAACAACCTTAATGTGTAGATGGTTTTAAAGTAAGGAATTTTTGCTGCGACCAAATTTAACAGAATTATGGCCCTTTGTTGATTTTTAGTTTTCAACTTGTGGCACATGTAGTCCAAAAAATATTTGACCTAGAGTCATAAGATTGACAGAACAGTGGCGTGTGGGGGCATCCGTGTCCTATGGACACATTTCTAGTTTTCTCAGCAACCACTTATCACAGCCTCTTGATATTTTGCATAGAGCATTGACACGTGGTTCCATACTGTGGGGTCTGTCGCTCAGCCACTTCCTGTTTACTGACTTAGTTAAATTTTTGACATTAATGGTCAATAGTAAAAAATATTTGTAACATTACAGGCTCATGATATTTGGTATACAACAAGGCCCTATCTGTCTTTGACCCATTTTAACCTTTACCCTGTGTCACTGAATATACCCATGAAACCAGCAGACCAGGGCAAACCAAAATAAAGACTGCATATGTGTGCAAAAAATAATGGTGACTGCTCCCTGTTCAGTCAGGACATATTTTGAAATTTTCCATAACAAAAAACTGATTGGTTTGTGCTAGATTGAAATACAGACATATCCAATAAAGTTATTTAACATGTGAGGGATAAACATATTTATGTTTATGTTTGATGGTTGATAACTATTTGCCACTTTTGTATCAATCATGTTTCGAGTCTACTTTATGGAACTATATATAACCAGTGATATGAAATGAGGAAACATTAGGTTTTACTTTTGACCTGGGGATTTTCTGGTCATATCCAGTTTCCATTATTGGAACTATCGATTATCAATTTTGAGCATATTAAGATGAAAATTTGAATATTGTCAGCCAACTGTATAGAGCCTGGTCAGACTGTAAGAATATGCAGGCTGGCCTGGCTCTATACTGGTGGTAAAGGTTGGTCACTTGGTTCAAGCATTGTAAGGGTTAAGCCATTTTTAGATGTAGACAGATTAACCACAAGGCCACTGATCCCATGTTTCAGGCATTGCTCTGTTTGCTTTACATTGGGTAACACACAGTTAAATTAAGTGAAAATTCAGACTTTTTTCAACTGAGAGAATTTACAGAAATCAGGATGAAAATGTCAATGCAGTTCTTGCATTTTTTAATGCAAGAACTTAATTTAAACTTCTAACTTATGTTAAGAAAATAAGGGTCTAAACCATAACACTTTGCTTTCCCATTTAAACAATTACAGTGTATAAGGCATACTTACTGATATAAATAGACTACCTGTAATAAAAGACCACCTTTATCATTTGGCTATTATGTCTTAATAGATAATTGTCTATATTCTTAGACATGTAATTCTTTGCTAAAGGTTATGTAAAATGTATCTTTTCACTTTGTTTTCAGCTTGAGACAGGTTTCAAGGAGGGATTGGGTACTGCCCTGAAACAGTACAACAAAGATACATTGAAGTTCAAAGCCTTTAACGGTCTCCAAGAAAATGTAAGTATCATGCCCTTTGTATAATGTATCCAAAACAGAGAGAGAAAAAATATTAACCTTGCAAGAATCAAAAGTGATAATTTTTGCCACCAGTATTGTGCCAGGCTTATCTGTATAAATGTATGCAGTTTGATTATAGGGTCTATCCTGTTTACATAAAAACTTGATATCCCTAAAATTGATAATGGACAGTTCCAGAAAAAATGAAAGTTATACCAATCCATTGAAGAATTTCAAAAAGTATAGGATTAAGAACAATTTTTCCTAAATTTTATTGAATGAATTTTGTGAGGACTTTAATATATTAGTAATGTTTGATTTTTATGCACTTTTTTCTTTTTATATTGGATATGCTAAATGAGTAATGAAGTAATTACATTTATTCAAAGACTTATCAGATATTTGCCACCAAGATTATTTTGAAAATGATGGAAGAAATCTGTTAAGAAATTAAGGAGGTTAAGATTTAAGAGTAAACTTGATCAGATATTTCATAATTTTATGTTTTTTTAAGCTGAAAACAGTAAAAAAATATCTGAAATTCCACAATGTTTAGTTTTAATTATTATATACTGAAATGTAGAATATTATTCTGTATATTTCAGCTACACTGCTGTGGTGAGAACAAGTATCAAGACTGGTTTACCACACCGTGGGAAGTTGAACAGCGAGCCAAGAATCTGACAATGACCGTACCAGCGTCTTGCTGTAGAGTTGAGCAGAATAAATGCAAACACTTTGATCTTCCTAAAGATGCTATGAACAAAACTCTCGATATTTACACCAATGTAAGATTTTGATTTTGATTTCATTTCAATATTATGATTAGCATTAGAATATGAGGGTTAGTTTTATATTTTTGAAAGAGATGCACATGTTTGACTAGTTTTTTTACTGGTGAAACAGATCTACTTACAGTCATGGAATAAACTTATAAACACAACACATAGATTAGTATTTCAAGGCATTGTTGTAAAACAGTTGTAATTGAAAAAGAAAAACAATGAAAGGGAGACAAGTCAAGTCAAGAAGTTTGTATATTGACCATTTGATTACTAGTATATAATAGCCTATTTGTTTTGCATACTGTGTATGTATTGGCATATTGGTACTGCCCCAGATGTATTTTGAAATAAACTGTTGAAACTCTTCTATTTTGTAGGGTAAAATAAGATCATACTTAGAGCCATCTTAGAACCATTAGAAATTACCATTCTTGGGTAAACAGTATGCACTGCCACTGTCAAAGGATCTGAAGTTATCATAATACTTATGGTATTTATATTGTTGAATGAAATGCTTGAAGGCTTGCTCCCTACCATTTAGTAGTAGTGTTATTTATTCAATAAATTCAATACTGAAATAACCCACATTGGATATCTGCTATTTATGGAATATTTTCAGGGTTGCTATGACACAGTTACTGGTTTCATGCAGAAGAACATGGCCTTGATTGGTGGAGTAGCACTGGGAATCTCTTTCTTCCAGGTATGTCTAGCTCAATTCCTTTAACCCATAACAAGCTGAGTATTTAAAAATGAACTTGTTCATCTTAAAATCTGGACAAAACGATTCACTATTTTCAGAAATAATTTTAAAATATGTATTGACTGAATAGCAAATTATAGAGCTGAAAATGCTCAGGGGAGCGCATGGAAAAAATCTAGTGCCGTATGTAGTGTAAGAGTTAAGATAGTGCACACACTCGGTAAATTTCAAATTTCTATGTCTCCATTTTACATTGAGATAACTATTAAATCTTCAAAGGGGGTGTCCGTGGTGGAGTGGTTATGGTCGTTCACTTCAAACCACTTGCCTATTACCGCTGTAGGTTCAAGCTGCTCAAGCGTCGTGGGATCCTACATATGAGAAAGCTATCCAGCTTGCTGAATGTCGGTGGTTCTACTCAGGTGCCTGTTTGTGCCTGAAAAAATGTAGTGGGGCACAAATGAGGTCTTCCTTCACCAAGGCTGGAATTTGCCAGCCATGACCTATACATTGTACTTTGTTGGTGCAACATAAAACCCAACCAAAAAAAAAGTTTTTTAAGCTGCACACCTCTAGATAAGTAAACTGTTTTTAGCAAAATTTGATAAAACAAAATTTTTAAGATTTTAAGAAAAGATAATGATAAAGGAATTAATTAACAAATCACTGAACTTGTTCTGGTCTGTCGAACAAAATGGCTACCTGTGCTGAAAATAGTAACAAGCTTAAATATATGTAACATCTCCTCTACAGTTGATTGATGTATTTTGATGAAACAGAAATGATCCATAGGTGATCCTTTACATAAACTTCTAAAATTGTTTTGGTCATCTAAACAAAAAAGACCACCAGAGTTAGAAATAGAAAAAAAACTTTCAGCATCAGCATTTCCTTCTCAACCACATGGTAGATTTTGATGAAACTGCAGAATAATGATCATTAGGTGGTCCTGTACAAATTTTGAGGAAATGTAAAATGGTAAGTGGTAAAAATAGAAATAAGCATTATGTGATATTTCAACTGTCTTGGCAGATTTTGAAAAAACTTCACAGAAATTATCAGTTAGTGGTTTGTTATTTACAAAAATGCTAAATGCTTAACAGCCTGCTGATCTTAAAAACAAACATGAAGCAACAACTATTGGTATATTTCAGCTTCTAGGAGCAGTGCTGGCATGCTGCCTCGCCAAGAATATCAACAAGTCCAAGTACGAACAAGTCAAGTAGAATACAACTACAAGTCTGTGATCTGTTGGTGCAATATTATACACACTGTAGGAAATTTTTGAAGAAATTATCATGGCCACAGAGTTTACAAATGGAGCAACGTTTTATCAACATATTCCTTAATTCTGTTATCTTTTCTTTGTTAATTTTTTACTTGAAATAGAACTGTAGTAGTTTTTAAGAATATTTATAGAATAAAATGATATGTAAATAAAGTTGATATGTTATTAAGAAGGATTAGATAGTTTGAATTTAATAACAGCGTGTAATTATCAGTTTCAGATATATATTTGTATTTGCTCTAAGCTTTCTTTTTCCTCCCTAGATTAGTACATGTGTATATCCTGTTTTATGTATTTTGTTAGTGAATGAACAATTTTGTAATATTTATACACAATGCAGTATGAATTGACTTGAGTGATTGCTAGTGGTATCTGAAACTTGTATGTTATACCGGTAGTTCATACAAAAAAAATATTTACTAAAGATTATAGGAAGATAAATATTAGCTAATATTTGCTGAAATGTAGTAGACTATTTTTGTGTTTTTGTTTGCTTTAATATTGTACAAAATGTATATCTCAAAAAAATGCAGACAAATGAAATATACTGGTACCTGTATTTTACCACATTTTTGTTAAACTGTTATAAGATTTTTCGCAGTTTTTTTATGAATTATGTTTTGTCTCAGTTGATTTGATAAATACAATTTGCATCAGTTGATCGGATATTTATGGATTACCTCGGTTATTATTTGCATCAGTTGATTGGATTATGAAAATTTGCCTCAATTGTTTGGAATTTTTATGATTCACCTCTGTTGATTGGATTTTGCAATGTGCCTCAGTTGATTTGATTACACTTTGTGGCAATTTAATCGCTGGCTGTAGCCAGAAGGATTTTTTTCTGTAATATTTTACTATCAAGGCATAGAAAATTTTCTGTACTCATCAAATCATTATGTTTGTATAATGAAAAATACCTATAATTTTAACAGGTTACTTGACAATTTTTGTAAATGATCATGAATAACAATAGAATTTTTGTAATTTATTACAAATTATTGGACTAAATTATGTACTAAGTAATAAAAAAAATGTAGATTTTTGGATCTGTGATTTACATCAGATTATCAGACAGGACCTTTAAAGGACAGCAAATGGAAGACAAGATTATGAAATTAAAAGAAAATTATTGGAATTTTTCAAAATAAATTTGTGCCCTGATGAAGAACCAGATAGGCTTGAAACTGGTATATCTTTATTAAAATTTTGTTTACATTTATCTGGTGTTGACATGTGGTTTCTTTGTATTTTTCCTTTTCATCCAGTTTGTGTACTATAATGTTAAAATATTGCTATAGTTTACTGGATTATATTAGACTAATTATGTAATTTTCTTTTTCTACAAGCAGGGCTCTGGAAAGTTTTAAAAGTTTTTATTTATCAGATTATTTAAATATGTATTTAATTTGGTTATATACTAAAGTAGGTCATATCATAAGAAATATTTTTGTAAAGAATTTTATTAAATTTATTTTGGCATCATGTATACCTTGTTACATTGTTTTTTCAATTTAAAAATCTACTTCTCTATGGCTGAGAAATTTGAGGCATTACTTCTAACAATAGTTTTATAAAAAAAAATAATGTTTTTGCTGTATTATACTCAAAGCATTTATATTCTTCTGAATCTCCTGTACATGTTGTTTTTAAATACATGTAGTTATATCACAAAATTAATATTACATCAGATATACTGAAGCAGATTTTAGTACTATGCTGTAGAGGACAAAAGCTGTGCTTTAGAGATTCTGTTTTTCTCTCTTTTTGTTTTCATATTGTATAGTCCTTAAAATTGTTGTTTTATTGGAAAGATATACTAGAATTGAAGTAGAATTTAAATTGAGTGGTCGTGCATTGCTTTATCACCCCTCCCATATGTAAGAGAGGTTTTGTTTAAATGTCCTTAATTTATATGAGAGGGTTTGCTTCTATACCCCTCATTTATGAAAGGTTTTGCTTCATTACCCCTCATTTATGAGAGGTTTTTATTTCACTATGTGACATGTATGTCATAAGTATATGTCATTTTGGATATCAAAAAATGTCAGAACAATAGTAAAACAAGATTGGATTTTAGAAATGCTTGTTATGCTTTCTTTTCTCATTATTAAACAACATCCCACCCACACCCTACCTAGCGTCATATAAAGCCAGTTAAACTTGAAGTACTAGCCTAATTGTTTTGCTAATCTTGATCCTTTTCATAAAAGAATTATTAATTTTTAATCAAATTGATGTCAGATATATTAATCAAAATAATTTCTAGTCAAAATGATTTAATTTCTTTATATTATTTTTAAGTTGAATTTTTTTTACTTTGTTTACAAGAACAATTAACTTTTAAAATATGAAAATATTTTGTATGTCCTTTTATATCTGCCTTTATTTTTTCTGCATATATGTTCAATATATTTTCTCTGTAAGTTTAAGAAAGTAATATTGTTGGTTTTTTTATTTCTTGCACATATTTCTATGATTAGATTATTGCTTAAACAGCTATTCGGAAATTTATTGGGCATCAACTACCAATTGTTTTATGTTGTGGACTTTGAAACACTTGCTCATCAACTTTGTGTTTGAATCTTGCCTCGGACTTTGTACTGCTTTATTTATGAAAGCTTTCTGGCTAGATTACACAAGCTTGATGGTTCTCGGTGACTTTAAGTTGATGGGATGTTGTACAAGAATTATAGACAAACTGAGTTAGATAAAAATATATTAATAAAGGTTTATATACATTGGGCATATGAAAGTTATATGCCACTGTATAAATCAAAAGTAACTCAGTACTCAGTTTAAATAGGTAAAAAAATTGTTTTCAATTTTTTATACTGATATATTCCCATAAAAATTTAATGTAATTTTCTCCCACTTCACTTTAAATAAGAAATTTTACATAATTGAGCCGCGCCATAACAAAACCAACATAATGGGTTTGTGACTAGCATGGATCCAGACACCAGCCTGCGCATACGCTGGGTCTGATCAGGATCCATGCTGTTCTTTATCAGTTTCTCTACTTGTTATAGGGTTGGTTAGCGTACAGCATGGATCATCAGACTGCACAGATGCGCAGGCTGGTCTTGATCCATGCTGGTAGCAAATGCACTATGTTGGTTTTGTCATGGCGCGGCTCAATTATTATTTGTCTCATCAAATAATAAACAAAAATAATGAACCAAAAACAAACAAACAAACATAATTACAATGTCGCTAACAGATATAGCTATAATCAATGTCTTACTGTTACTTTACAAGTTTTATATATTAGTTTTTATTATATTTCATTGCAAGTATTAACCTATGTGTATTTTAAAGTCTGTTTTATATTTTTTCAGGAATTTATTACCCACCTTTTCTTGAAAGTATTTACCTTTGATAATTTATAAAAATTGGTAATTTTTCATAATGTAAGAAGTCTTCTTGCTTTTAACTTTTTTTTAAAATTTATTTACCAGAATGTTTACAAAGTTGTGTTGTATATCATACAATTACGATATTGAAATGTCAAGTTACACAGTTTTGTGTGGCAGCATGACCGAGTGTCAGACTAGAAATTTAAGGATCCCTATCCGCATGGGTTTAAACCCCATCAGGGGCAAGCCATTGTTTCCTTGGGCAAGAAACTTAACACTTGTTGTAAAGCACTGGTTGGTTCCAGGAACAAATTAGAGAGTGTCTATAAGCTTCTAGCTTCATATAGTACTAAAATAAAAATTTAGTATAAAATAACTTACACAGCTTACAGAAAACTATAGAAAACTACTCAAGTTTACTCAATTACCCACTTGTGTCTAATATTGTGCACTTAAGTACATATTTGGGGTCTTGTGCCGGCATAAATTGTATGTGTGAGAATAGTTTCAAATCAGTTTAAAATGTGTATATATTGCCACATATATTTGTAATGGTCTGATTAAACAAGAGCTGTCCGTAAGACAGCGCGCTCGACTTTTTTATTGCTTGCCAATAAAAAAAGTTTTTGCAGTAAAAGGCAATACAAGAATCTCTGTATTTTTAAAGTGAACAATGGCCATGAGCATTAAGATATTTAGTGAAGAATTATTTTACTGAATTGTGTGATACCCTTGAACACTGCAGCAAAGTTTGAAATGTTTAAGTCAAAAGAGGGCTGGTAAGAAAGAAAAAAAAACTGAGTTGAGCCTTAAATAAATTTAATAGTATTAAACCCACTTTGAGAGAATAAGGTATTTTTACGTCACTCAGAACACCTTGGTAAATGACATAATAACATAATTTTTCAAGAAATCTATGCCAAGGAAGCAGTATATTTTTGTACAATCAGCATAATATATAGATTTGACTTTGTATGTGAAAGTATTATAGTTACCTTATAATACAAGTAATAGATAAATTTTATCAAGCTTTTTTAGATGTTGTCAGTTGGTCACAAGTGGATCTCTTTCACACAGGCTGTGGGTGACTGGTTACTTTTCGTGGGTCCACTATGTAGATAATGCGTTGTAAACTGATATTTGAATTACATGAAGGAAGTTCAATTCATTATTTAATGTCATGCTAAATGTTCATGAAATCGTGACATTGAGTATATTTTTACCAATTGGGGCATCTCGTTGAACACATTCATTCTCACTATCTTCGAATGCTCCTAATTTCTGTATGTAAGCACAGTGTAGCATCACGAAACTGAATATAAGTTATATGATTTACTGGTAAAATAACTAGTTGTTTGATACCCTTGAATATTACAGCAATGTTTATATGACATAATTTATGGTAAAGTGAACAAGTGGATAGGAATGAATTTTTTTAGATTTTTTAAGTTTTTTAGTGCTTGCCTATAATACAAAACATTGACAGTTAAGGGCCATAATTCAAAATAAAATCTTTGACAGAATTACCTTCTCCTGGACATGTTTGGGAATCATGATTGTAAACAAGTATTCCAACTTTCAAATTAATATCTCAAACAGTTCAGTCAAAAAGTGGACTGGTACTAAAAACTTAACCAAGATTCTAAGTCGATAAAAGGCCTTAATTTTTAAAACAAATCCTTGACAGAGTTACCTTCTCTTGCGTACAGATGGGGTAATGATGTGAAATAGCATTAAAAGTTTCAAAGCAATATCTCAAAGGGTTAAGGCAATAAGTGGATTTTACCCATATTCAATGTATTTTCTAAGTCAAAAAGGGGCATAATTCTGTCAAAAACCTTGACAGAGTTATGTCCTCTTGTCTGTTGATGAAGGTCGTGATGGTAAACAAGTATGGTCAGTTTTCAAAGCAATACCTCCAATGGTTTTGAAATAAAGTGAGGTGGTACAAAAAACTTAACCAAGCTCAATACACTTTCTAAGTCAAAAAAGGGCCATAATTCTGTCAAAAACCTTGACAGAGTTATGTACTCTTGTCTGTAGATGGAGGTTATGATGGTGAACAAGTATGGTAAGTTTCAAAGCCATACTTGTAATACTTCTGAAATAAAGTGGGGTGGTACGAAAAACTTAACCAAGGTGTGACGCCAACGCCGACGCCGACGCCGACGCCGGGGCGAGTAGGATAGCTCCCCTTTTCATAGAAAAGTCGAGCTAAAAATTATGCTGAAATCTAAATAATCATGGTTATTTTTTGACAATTCTCATAATTTTGAACAACCCTCCTCAGTTAATTTTGGACAACACTCATGGTTAATTTTGGACAACACTCATGGTTAATTTTTAACAACCCTTATCAGTTAATATTGATCAACACTCCTCGTTATTTTTAACAACCCTCATGGTTAATTTTGTACAACCCTCCTTAGTTAATTTTGGACATCACTCATTGTTAATTTTGAACAATACTTGTGTTTGATTATGAACAATATCCAGATTTGGGCCAATATATCCAGATCATCTTGGGAACAATGTTATGGACCAATATAAAAATTCCCATTTTAAATGTGTCCAACTTAAAATGAGCCAGTAAATGATATAGGTGGAATAGTAACCAATGTCCATTGTAAATTATATATATGTCAATTCAGTATAAAATGCCCAAGTATGAATTGGGCCATTTTATTGATGTGATAATAAGTTCATATAGAGGACCAATATTTTTTTTTTTTAAATGGGACCAATGTATTACCGAGTGAATTTTTTTTAACTAGTAAAACTAGTAGCCATTTCACAAGTTCCACTTCTTGGCTGTCTTGTTTGATGACTTCTTTTATACTGTAAAAAGTCTGTAATATTCTGTTTTACTTAAGTAAAAAATACATGTAGGTGCAATTTTTATATTTTATAGTTCCTTGACATGAACAAGTAGATAGAAGTTGTGTATTTACATTCAAAACTCCTTTATATTTTGCTTGCAAGCTTTCTATTTTGTCTTTCAAATCTTTCTTGATGCTTTTAAATGAAAATAAAATATTCAGTCAAATAAATATGTTGTTTTTCGTTATTTCATCAATTTTCTCCATAAAGTGTGCTTACTTTAACCGAAGCAATGACAATTAAAAAATGAATTCAAAATTTCCATGTGCTATCCAATTAAAATCACTGCTGAATGTTTTCATAGCAGTTACATCACTACACAGTGACAGTGAGTGGCTTGGCAAAACACCTAGTTACATACTAATTTGTAAAATGCCATTTAAACGGACAGTAACATAATTTTCATTTTATCTCTCTTGAATACGAATTGGTCAGAGATGACTTTGTGCTATGATGCATGTGGTCTTACACTTAAAACAATATCTCATAAATTCCTAACATAATTTTGACATAACTTCACGCAATATGAATGATCATTGGCTTAAGGAATGATCATTGGCTTAAGGAATGATCATTGTCTAAAGGAATGATCTTTGGCAATAGGAATGATCTTTGGCAATAGGAATGATTATTGACAATAATTATGAAACAATACTATATTCACAGGAAAACACATTAAGATGTACAGAGCTTAGATAATGAATGATTAAACAATGGCTTTTGAACTTGAAAAACACTGATTTAGCACACTAAAATGAGATTGACAAACTTTCATTTACTGTCTTTTGAAGATTTTTGTATCCCACAAAATTATAAAAATTGATTGCCCTGCTCTATGCATTAACTTTAGTTAAATGGATTTCAGTATCATAATTATATATGTAAAAACGAAAAATCGAGCACCCAAATGAAAAGATCCTAGGCTGAATGCGGGGAAGTTCAGGATATGTTTTTCATATTGACACGAGGTATGATCTATTTTATGTGTCAATGTTGCTTTACAGAAAATATCTTTAATAAATGATCTCCGAAGAACAATTATATTCATTACAAACGCTTACAGAAGACAACAAACCATGACCATCAAGTTTTTTATTTTTATTCTATTTCTTACTAAAATAAATACATTTACAATCAATATTGTCTTTAGAGTAAGATTATTTCAACATAAGAATTAAAACATACTTTTATAATTTTTAATGTATGGAATATTTAACTGGGAGTATTTACAATGTCTGAGTTGTTGCATATTAATTAGTAACCGTTGCTAGGAAAGAGGCGTATTGTTAAAAAAAAGTATTAAAAAAAGTGTTAAAAATCTTATTATTTAGAATAGATTAAAGTTAACAATGAAACATGTATCTAACAACATTTGGTTGTGTTATCATAAGTATACCTTGCAACTTTTAAAAAGTAAAAAAGTTAATATCTAACTAACTTCTCTTTGCAAATGTTCTATTGTTTCACCAATATGTTCTTTTGTTTCACCAATATAAGATATTCTATTTTTCACCAATATGTTCTATTGTTTCACCAAGATATTCTATTTTTCACCAATATGTTCTATTGTTTCACGAATATGTTCTATTGTTTCACCAAAATGTTCTATTGTTTCACCAAAATGTTCTATTGTTTCACCAAGATAAGATATTCTATTTTTCACCAATATGTTCTATTGTTTCACCAAGATATTCTATTTTTCACCAATATGTTCTATTGTTTCACGAATATGTTCTATTGTTTCACCAAAATGTTCTATTGTTTCACCAATATGGTCTATTTTTCACCAAGATGTTCTATAACATTTATATAATTTTGCCGGATAGATCAAAAAAAGAAATCTCGGTTCCTTTATTTCCAGAATGTTTATCTTCATACCCCCTATTTGGTCAATTTGAACATACTGATAAAGTCATCTTCTGTAGTACCATCATCTTGACTGTTACAACCCATGCTGCTTACATACAATGTTGATCTTTCTTCAGACCAGCAGACAGAAGAAGGGCATTCTAAATCCTGTACAACAACCCGTCCTCTAGTGCAGTCCCCGGATATCTCTATAATGGTACCGTTTCCAACACAAGCAAACACAGTGCCATTTTCTGACATTGTCAACCCATAAGGCTTATCTCTACAAGCATATCTGTCTCCCATCTCACCCTTCCAGTTGAATCTGGTAACTGTCTCCATAATATAATCCGATACATAGACAGAACTATCACATGTTGTGACGAACATTGGGCTCTTGAAAATAGATCTATCTTCGATAGTGTGTAATACAGTCCCGTTCATCTGAAGAATTTGAACTTTTGGAGGGTCCTGAAATGTCACCACCATTTGATTTCTATGACAGCTAATGCCACAGCATTGTCCATCAACCTTCACAGTGTGATTCATCTTGAATTTCTTGCTTGCAAATGACATGAACTGTATACTTTCATTGCCTAGTAGTACGACAGCAAGTCTATTATGTGCCACCGATGCAACATCTAGAGGAGTGTATTGAAAGAAATGTTCAGCTATGACCGACTGTGTTTTTATATCAACCATTTTTAACACGTAGTCATCTGTGAGGATTAGAGTATTGGGATACGGGAGAGTCATTCCTTGTATACAGCACACACGACCTTTAGCGTTTGATGTTAGGACACAGATTTTATCCATGTATGAGGATTGTCTGGGTTTCATATCCGGGATTATCAATGTTTCACTTTGTAATGTTCCCAATGAAAACTCTTCATCCAGCAGATATGATATGACCTCATTCGGTTCAAAGTTGTAATCTTTTACTTCAATATTTTGATCGTAGAGCGTAGCCATAGTTCTCTGATATTGGAAATCTTTTATAATCTCTTCTGCATGTTTCATCTCTATAAACATGTCGTTAGCTTGTGTAGATCTGTTCAAGCGTTGAATGGCACCAGAGGATGACTTAAGGGACTTTGAAACGTCTTTACATTTTGTTTCTAGTTTCGTCAATTTTTTCTTGTTGTCCTCTTGATTGACTTCTACTGCCTCCTTGACTTGTCTTTCTAGTTCATTTAATCTCTGGTCGAATTTTGTTCTAAATTTCATAAAGTCTTCTAATGCACGTGTCAAAGATTCGTCTGAGTTTTCAATCATTTTCTTTGTGTCTTGAAGTGTTTTGTTAGATATCTCACTTACGTCATTAATTCTCTTCAATATATCTTGATATTCTGTGCTGTTGATGAATGTGTCTGAAATATCAGGTATATATTTGACTTGACAAGATGCTAGTTTATGATCCAGTGTTACACAAACACTACAGAGGAGAGTCTTGTGATCATGGCAGTAAAACTTGATCATCTCCATGTTGTGTGTAGGACAAGGTTTGGTGAAATTTTCAGACTGCGTTGGAGTAACAGGTGACAGGATCTGGGGCATGCTGCTTTTGTCTAGTAGAGTGTGATCTCTTGACAATTTATGTTTTCTGTGAAGTGTGTAACATGTTTCACACAAATGTTCTGAGCAGTTCGTACAATATCCATAAGCAGGAAGTCTAGATCCATCTGGATCGCATGGCTGACAATAAACGCGAGGATCCTCTTCAGAACCCAGAGCGATTGTTGCCAATGAATCTCGTCTTATGGCATTTTTACCTGGAACATCCATGACTTCCCTGAAAGAAAATCAGAATTATTAATATCAGCTTATCAACATAATGACAATATATTGAAAAGTGGAACAAAATTAGCTTTTTTATAAGATGCTCCTCTCTCATGATTCCAAAATGATAGCTGACAGCAGTATCAAATAAGGGAAAAAAGATCAACATTGAGATATATTATATAAATCATCTGCTGATATGTATGATAGTAACTTCAAAACAGGCTGCTTATTTTGATTCCCCGACTTCTTTGTGTTTGGTTTTTATTATTAAATTAAAGGTGTATGGTATACATGTAACATAACTTATCTAAACTTTGTATGATGTTAGAATGACACTACAGACACAAAAACATCTCACTGATTTATAGTACGACGGATTGAAAGTATAATTATAAGTATATGACTTCATGTGTTGAACCTTATAAAAAGTAGATTTGGTAACATCACGATCGAAATTTGTCTGTGATTCAGAATCAATTTGTTTTCAACAGTTGTCAACCTTTACAATAAAAAAAATTGTCAAACCTTATATAGATGAAAAATGAATCAAAACTTAATGAAATTTAAGAAAAATATAATGAGAAATAGTGCATTATTACGTTTGGTTAAAATGATAGCAAAAAGATATGTATAAAATCTTTACATAGCTGTGTATATACGAGTATGTATACATGAGCGTCAATAAATATAGCCTATATTTTTGGGAATTGTAAACATCTTTTTCGGCAATAGTGATAATTGGCTAAGTGACCATTTACTTTGTTCAAACCAGCTATAAAGACAGTTCAAGAATAAGTCAAGTATCAAAATTGTGGCAAGTCATAGACTCCGTACTTCTTGTAACTGGTCCATATTTCTAACACTGCTCGAATACTTTTCAACTTATTCCGACAAGAACTAACTTTCCAAAAAGGAACAATATAAAAAACAAAGTAATACAGATTGATGAGTCAAAGAACTGTGTAGACCGTAAAAAACGGGTGTGCTTTAAAACCTTATTTTGAATATTTTACAAATATAACTAAAACAATATAATGTTGACTAATATATAATCTAACCTTAATTAGCCGGTATATATCCTTTTTAATCCTGGTATATTTAAGAAATCTATATTTACTATTATTCTTAATCAACAATCTAAACACACTTGACTTTCTTGGGAAAGGTTCCTTACTTAAGTACAAATGTAGTTCCTGTGTAAACGGACTATTAACCAATGAAATGATTAACATGAAATTATTAATTTAACCAATTAAACAGATTAAAAAATATGACAAGCCAGTTGCCGATTGCACTTAGCATGTTATTTATTCCTTTCTTAAGCCATACAAATAAAAAATCTTTAAATCAATAAACATCCTGATTAAAATTGATCATAATAACCTTCCTGTCATAGATGTGACGCAATTGTCACACGGCTTCCCCTTATTTAGTACCAGCAGGGTATCCTTGGTGTCAGGTATTTGAATTGAAATTTTGTGCTCAGTATTAGAATTTTATATTTTGGCAGAGACATAGATTCTTATCATGGTTACTTCCAAAAAAATTTTTTTCTAAACATCGCAAATATGCTATATAGAAATATAATATGAGCATGTCATAAACACGTGGTTTATCACACAGCAAGGATGTACGGTTTAGTGAAACCGGCATTTTTCGTCAAACCAATGAACCGTCAAGAAAAGCGATCTTTGGTCAAACTAAATTTTTCTGCTCAAAATGGCTTGATGATTGATCAGCTTTGTACTTTCCATCAATATTAATTCTATTTACATTAATTAAATGTGTGAAAACTAGCTATAGAATTTTAAATCGAACAGAACGGGACTTTTTTGTGTAAAATAGTTAATAAAAAGAATAAAAGGTTTTTATTACATGCTTTTCGGTGGTTTATAGAAATATATCAGTGATATAAAACTGGTAATTTCACTGTTTGAAACAGTGAAATTACCACTTTGATAATTTCACTGTTTTGAATTTAAGCCCCTTACGTTGTTTCAGTGAAATACCAGCGTGCACAGTACTGGGTACCAACTTAATGACGTGACGTTGTAAATGACGTCACGTTGTATTATTATTTGGCGCGCTTTTCATTCAGTATTATGTTTAATGTCTTTTTAAAACGTTTCTTTGCATATAATAAAAAGAAAATTTGTTTAGTTTAGTGTAAGATCGAAATATATTTCACCTTGTGAACACCAAAAGTTCATATTTCACTCGTGGCTGCGCCACTCGTGAAATATACCTTTTGGTGCTCACTCGGTGAAATATATTCTGATCTTACACTGAACTAAACAAATATCCTCTATATAATTTGTGTGCATATTTTGTTACAGCATGAAGCATTCACCACAGGAGATTGACATTCTATCAATAATTTATATATATATATACCTACAAATAAACTAGTAATAATTTGAACACCCGCAGCTATATAATAATATATTTAGGGGTATATTAGCCGTGATTTATTATTTGCTTATTTTCAATTTTTTTAAAGAATGTCAAGCTCCTGTGCATACACTGATTAAGCAAAGGTCTGTCTTATAACTATGTATACAATCGGCAATCAACGTTTGTCCTTTCTATCTATTGGTTTTCAACTTTTTGAAAAGCAATGGTACAAAAACAACATCAAACTGAATTTATATTTTCTGGCCTTTTCTGACTTTTTTAACATTATTTACATCGTGAATTAATCGACAAGATGGGGCTCGAATTTAATCGAATCTGATACTTCTTGAATAGAGACATAGATAGTATGCTTAGTATGCCTTATCCTTTACGCAATAACAAAAACCTTAGAGGAAAAAAAACACAGTTTCTAGTTTCTTAGACTGGAATCTTGAACCCAGATCACATTTATGGCAAAAACGTATTATGTCGGTTCAAAACTTTGTAAAAGCATTTCAAGCTACGTATTCAACAATTGAATCATGCATAAAAAAATCAACAGACCCACAATATATCTTATCATATTATGGTGTAAAACAGAGAGACTCGGTCAGAATTTCAGAACTAGTCAAATATTGGTCAAAACAATTTTGAAAGACTCTGGCTTAAAAGGTTTACAGACACTTCACCCCCCAGACACTTCACCCTAGGCCCTTTTTTGCAGACACTTCACCCCTCAGACAGTTCACCCCTCATTTTAAGAAATTTGATTGAGACACTTCACCCCCCATTTTTTATTTTGTGTTAAACAACTATTTATGTAGAAAATGTTAAATGTATTCAATATTGATTGTGTATGTTTATTGTTTTAACATATTTTATTATTATTTTATCATGTAACTGACAAAAAAAAATGGATATATATTGTTCTTTTGCATGTCACAAAGTTATTAGTAAGTTAATTCTTTATTTTTTTTTATACTAATTTCAATTTAAGTGAAAGTGATATATATAAATCCTTTTATTAAATTGTGTGAACCTTTTCGTGAATTTTCCTTTGATATATTATATTTTTTTCTTTGATATATTATATTAAGTATATAATCTCTTTCACACTTCCTTTGTGTCTTTGACAGTATCTTGTTTAATGAATTGAATTTAGAAAGCAAAATATGAATACAAACTGAACTGGCAACACATAGCATGTGATACCGGTAATAATTTGTTAGCAACATTTTTTAAGAAAATAGGGAAATACAAATTGTTCTTTTTTTTATTTATTACATCAATGGAAAAAAAATAATTCATTTATATTCTTTTATATTCATATTAATAATTTATTTAGTTATTTATTTATTTTCAAACAATATTACTTATTCATTTATTTTTCATACAATATTATTTATTTATTTATTTTACATACACTATTATTTATTTATTCATTTTCATACAATTATACCTTTTTAATCCAATTATCTAACTGTTGAATAAACAACCAATCAACAAGTTGAATAAACAAGGTGACATGAAATAAACACTTAATAATGGATGTGCTTTGTATAACAGTGGGCAATACGATGATCATGAATTAAGGCCAAGGACTGAGGAGTTCTTGGAGAAAGTGGGTAAATTTATGGACATTTTTAAGAATGTGGTTTTTAGAACCGGTAAAATGTTATGTTTTATTGCATGTTATATGTAAATGACTTGAAGTAATTATTACATGTGTAATTACATGTGTTATTTGTTTCTGAATTATTTACTGTACAAAACAAATATTTACTCTTAGAAATGTCTGTAAATTGTCCATTAATCTAAAAATTATAAATCAAAATATATACTAAAAATAATTAAAATAAACACATGATACAAAAGCATTTTTATGGCTTATTTAAAAAAAAAATTGGATGAGGGGTGAAGTGTCTTGCTGATTTTGGGGGGTGAAGTGTCTTGAGGGGTGAAGTGTCTTCAAAATTTGAGGGGTGAAGTGTCTGGAGGGTGAAGTGTCTTGCTACCGCTTAAAATACTAAAATCAAATCATGGCTCAATCTTTACACATGACAACACGTACTTCTACATTAGACAAACAACGAACAAGTGTGCATTTCATATCAAGACAATTCCAAAATTCACGCATATATTCGTATACAAATAATCTTAAACTGAAGATACTCACATTTATAATGCAATAATAACCAGTTTAGAATTTACACAACAACCATTTCACGTGCTCAATAGTGATATAACAAGCGCTTGTATTCGATGACATTTACTCAAGGTAACGGATGTCACATCAACACACCGACACAGGCCCGTATTAAATAGTATTTTACATAATAGAGATTTTTTAAGCTTGAGTAAACATATGACGTAGTTATTGAAATTATCAAATGCCCCCTATGTCTCAGAAATGCCCTCAAAAAAGCTTTAGTGTGCAGTATTTCAAATGAATCGTAACACATTTACTTTTAAATCGGCACACTGTTAATCAGTTGAGTAAATCGACTGTTTTTATAAAAATAATTTAAAACGCTAAAAAGCCGGTTAAAATTTATTAGTACCTATTTAAAAAAAATAAATAATAATCATAATAATAATACATATAGTAAATTATAATACTGATTAAGTAAAAGTCTACCTGTATATGTAAAACGATCCGATATGTTTGGTAATAAAACGTAATTTCAACACGCATATGTTAAATATTTCTCATATAAAGTTTATATTGTAAGTCACTGATGAATTTGACTTGAACAGGGCAAGTATCTGGTTTTTATACAGGTTGTGCATGACACTTTGAGTATTTACTTCACGCGGACAAATTTATGACAGGAAACCGGACAATTATAATGACCAGCATTTTCAATAGAATTGAGATCGCACAATCTGGATAATATGACAGTTTGACACCTTCACTTCCTGAGTCAATTACGTCATCTTTAATTAGATATTATCATGTTGAAAATAACGCAGATATTGTGCTCATTTATTTACCTTTTATTCTTTATTCCAAATTAATGTATATTAATGGATATATGATTTCATGTATCGTGGACTAACCAGTTCTCAAACCTCTAAGCATTCAAGAGGTCTTTTAATGTAAATAAAAATATATCTTTATAAAAAGTCTTTACATATGTACACTTTAATCTTTATGTAACATTTCTGTAAAATTTGACTGAAATTCAACTATTAAAAAAGCTCTATTTCCATCTTGGAAAAGCACAACCCTCTGTTTTAAAACTAACATGGCCTCTTAAAATAAAGAACCTAATCTCAAACCCCTTCAAGTATCTCTAAAATTCTACTGTTTAGTTTAGTCAATGAAGTGATTGTTATATGACTATCACATGACAATGAAGTACCCTACACAATGCAGTTACCTGCTTTAAGATATTTTGTCTATAATATTCATTTTCACAAATAGTTAATGGTGTATTTATGGGACTTACAAAGGTAATAGCAATTTGTATGAAATTACGCTAAGTAATAAAATATGTTATGTAAATATTTGTTCCTATGCACTGTTTTCATTTGACATCAGCAGACATGTCTGTCAGAAACAAAGCTTTTATGCACACAAGTTCAGGACATCATAGTCACTTCTAGTAAAAAAATAACAGCACATGAATGAAAGGTTTGAGAATAGGTTGGGTGTGAGATTAGGTACTTATACGATAATAATATTCGACGATACAAAAGACAAAATATATAATAAGAAGAGAATTATAAGAGAATAATTTGTATACATGTATGCAATGTATGCTAAACTATACATTTAAAATATTTAAATAATTGACATAATAAAAAAAAAACAATGAAATAATTTTTAAACATGTATGCAATGTATGCTTAACTATACATTTAAAATAATTTACATAATAAATAAAACAATAAAATAAAACAATATGTTTTAATTAATTTCGTATCCTTGTCATAAATACTTACAAAATGTATTTTAATATGTAGTTTAATGCCAAATGAAATATTGAATTGAAATTCAAAAGTTACGCCGAATTTGAATCGATATATAACACCTGTATAAATCGAAATTTGATGAAAATGAAAAAGAGTATAATAAAAATGAAATAGCGCATACGGCTGCCGTAACATTATAATTTAAAATCTGGAAAAAGGGTTATCATTTGGAAGCATTAATAACAACAAAATAACATGAAAGCAGCAGAGTCGGTTTGATTAAGTTTGTATAAAAACGCAATTCAAACAAGCTAAACAAAAAGAACATTGCGTTTTCTTGCCGCATTCCTGTACGTCAAGATACTGTCGGTACTGAATAAATGGATTTTTGTTAGGTTTTGAAAATGTAACATATTGAACAAGATGCACGCATTTTGAATGAACGCGTTGATGTTTTTCCTATTATTATATGCCAAAGGGCAAAGAGAATAAAAATTCATTTTGATATAATTACTAGATTAAAAGTCAATTATGGTACTCTCATTTTATGGAAACACTAGATAAGATTGATCAAAATTTTCGTAAAATAGAATCACCTCATTTAGGAAACTACCCGCCTATATAACTGAAATACTGTTAGGAAAAGGCGTAAAATGAAACAAACAAACAAACGATCACCTCAGTTACCCACTTTGATTTTCTCAACTATAACTAATTAACTTTATTACATTAAAATACAATGTATGTTTATAGTAATAAAAATATAGACGGAAGACACGGGGAAAGAGCATTAAAAGAGCGTTAAAATACATTTCTAAGTAACGAAAGTCGTACACTAGTCGTATGGTTTTATTTGTGTAATATATAGTAGCTTATTCCTATAAACGACATGTACATACACATTTCCCATAGATGAGAGAGGTTTTGTTTAAATATCCCTAATGTATATAAGAGAGGCTTTGTGTGTGTTTTTACTTTTATTTTAGCTCGGTCCCGGACATTCCATAATATTATGTCCGTCCATGCCGGTCCACTCTTGAAGCCACATCGGTGACGTCTTTTTCAAGCCTGTTCTTTGTTCGTTGCAGGAAAAGACAATACTGGCAAGGCATCATGTTCCGTGATGGCAGCAGACAGGTGGTTAACATAGAACGACTCTTGTTAGTGCCACCCTCCGGGTTAGTCACGAAAGGTCAACCAATCGTCTCTGGTATTTAAGACGACTTGACATTGACCTGTCGTGTGTCTTCTGCACGCCTCGGGAGGGATTTGAAAAAATATGAGAGGCTTTGCTTCATTGCCCCTCATTTATGAGAGGTTTTGCTTCAATGCCCCCATATATATGAGAGGGTTTGATTCACTGTGACATGTATGCGAGAGGTATTGCATTGTTTCATTAATTCAATGTGCAAAAGTAGCCAAACATACTGCTAAATTGTTTAGCTAAAAGAATTAGCTTAATAATTCATTGTATTACTTTTTTTCATCCTTAAACAAAACCCGCCCCACACATTACCTCGTGTCATGCAAAATCAGTTTTCCCTTGTAGAACAAGCCATTTTTTATTGTGCTTATATTGATCCTTTTCAGACAAATTTTTAAGTTAAGGTTTTTTTTACTTTGTTTAGATGAACAATTAACTCTTAAAATTTGAAAATATTTCGTATGTACTTTATTCATCTTTCTTGATTTTTCTGCATATATGTTCAGATTTTTTTCTGTGTAAGTTTAAGAAAGTCATGTTGTTTTTATTTGGTTCACATATTTCTATGGTTTATGGTGTCTGATTTGTGCCATTCGTTTTTTCGCCCGGCGACCCCGCAAAGAGAAAAGTCAAGAATTCACAGACGCGCGGATCGAGATCTAAGAAATAAAACGGCGGGGTGCTCATTTTATTACTAACTCTGATTACCGATTACTGGGGGGGGGGGGGGGCGGGGGGCGAAGTTTAATAATTAAAATTTTATTAATGCCCGACCCGCCATTTTAACTTGTTAATTCTCAACTTTTCTTTTGGCGGGTTCGCAAATGGCACACATCAACCACCATAACTGTTAAATCATTGCTAAAGCAGCTATATACAAATATTTACTGGGCATCTCCTTCCGAGTATTTTATGTTGTGAACTTTGCAACACTTGCTCATCAACCTGTGCATGTTTGATTTTAATCTAGTGGTATAAAAATAAATATTTCAGGAGTGGCGGTAGCCATGAATGAAATATGATAATTTTCATACCACAAGATTAAAATAAATCCTGTATTTATAGTAAAAAAAAACTTTTATTATCTGTTTATTTTAATTTATTATACATTTTTCTCTTTTTTGACATTACAATTTGAAAACATTCCACTTAACTTTTGTGTCTGTGCTGCATTTAGAAGACAAAAGTCCGGCAAAACACCAGTGAAAATACGTAGAATATTTTTCACTGCAGTGAAAAATGAATTTTTACATTGAAAATATGAAAATTACGCATTTTATTTCATCAATATTTTTCAATATTTCATTATGATGTATATGATAAAACACTATTGACTTTTATATGATTATCCTAATTCCTACTATCATTCATGCTATAGAAATTAATGAATTAGGAGATTGAAAAAGTAACCGTTTTCTTTCAAATTTACAGCACGTGTCGCAGAGAACTTAAGATTGTTTTCCCTACATGATAATTAAAATTGAAACACAAAATTTGCATTAACTAATACCGTACTTACAGTACATTATATATATATTTCTCTTTTTGACATTATTATTTGAAATACTTGCCCTAAAATTTTGTATAGTGGCTGAATTTAGAAGCGAAAATACCGAAAATATGATTTACGGCAAATAACTTTTCTCTATTTATCCAAATAAAGTTCATCTATAAAGCTCACTGGTTAACATTGTTCACTATAAAAATACTGCTTAACTCACTTAAGTAATTTCTTTCAGATTTGTAATTTGTCATCAGTGGTTTTATTGTTTTGTAAGATATAGAATTTATTATGTTTACTAACATTATTAAAAAATACGAAATTTACGTCTAGACATAATTTTCTCTATATATCGGTCAGCAATTTTCACTGTAAGTTTAACTGGTCAACAGATTCTACTATAATTATGTTTAACTGGTCATCAGTTTTTCGCATGACGTACAGTACGTTAAATCTGCTGACAATATAGTATAAGAAGTTAATCGAGAAGTTAACACTGGCATAATTAATATCGAGCTAGCACTTTGAAATTCAAAGTAAACCAAACTGAAATTTAAAATTAAAAAAAAATATATATTGAGCTGGAGTTGAATTTCAAGCCAGCTCGATGATCGAAATTCAAAATTTTCAAAAGCCGAATTGCGACAGTGCGATAACGACAGTTCGATACCACGATGGCGACAACCCGACAGTATTATCGCACTATCGTATTGTCGCCATCGCACTGTCGTCATCGATTATAAAGTAAAACCACGATGACCCTAACGGTATACCGTACAAAACTACCCGTGCGCCGCCACCGCTGTATGTTAGATATGTGTTTTAGATAATATACCAAACCTACATGTTTCATTTTTTTGGATGGGGGGGGGGGGGGGGGGGTAAAAAGACAAGCAGGAAAAGTAGATAAACCAGTTCTCAATTATGACAAATTTAAGCGGATGCTAAGAGACAAGTTGTGTATCATAAGTGAATGGCAATTATTTTTTGTTGGTAGATATATAGCTTTGGCCAGATAGGTGGTGGAGGGGAACTTTATTTTCCCCTTTAGGGTTTTTATGAGATAAGCATTAGAAGAAAAAAAAACTGTCCATATATAAAAAAATATATATATCTTTAAAATGCATGTATAATATTATGATATACTACTTTCTCTTTAGTATGCACGGCTCATAATGTAAAATGAAAGTTGAATTAATGTACAATATATCCCAGCGAGGCGGAAGTGGTGAAATAATTGTCTACAATAAGACCGCATTGCGAAAATTGTAAAATAATTGTCTATAATAAGATCGCATAAATGGTGAAATAATTGCCTACAATAAGACCGCAAGTCGGAAATGGTGAAATAATTGCCTACAATAAGACCGCAAGTCGGAAATGGTAAAATAATTGCCTACATTAAGACCGCATGGCGGAAATGGTGAAATAATTGTCTACAATAAGACCGCATGGCGGAAATGGTGAAATAATTGCCTACAATAAGACCGCATGGCGGAAATGGTGAAATAATTGCCTACAATAAAACCGCATGGCGGAAATGGTGAAATAATTGTCTACAATAAGACCTCATTATGGAAATGGTGAAATAATTGCCTACAATAAGACCGCATGGCGGAAATGGTGAAATAATTGTCTATAATAAGACCACATGGCGAAAATGGTGAAATAAGACCGAATTCAAGCATATATTCACCTCATGTATGTTTAATACAATCATAGGTAAGCAGTTACATAAAGACAGCCGGGAATAATTTAACATCTTGATTGAACTTTGTACTTTAATTCTCAATGATTAACCTTAGAACTTAAAACAATCATCTTTCATTTGATTTATCTATAATTAATCCTTTTTATTCATTTTATTGTTGCCTTTTCTTTTTTTCTTTTTTTTTTCGACTTCGTTTTTTTTTCGGACAATGTTTTCCTAATATGTATGTACATGTATTATAATTGAAGTTTGAGTTCTCCATGGAAAGCAATTAAAACTTTGTGATTACTAACATAGTATGTCTTTTGGTAAAATCTAACTTTTATTCGAAGTTTTGCCAAAACCGTTTAAAGAGACATAATTTGTCATGTCGCGACAAATCTTTTAGACATTGGAAACAGCAGAGCATGCTATAGCTGTTGTGCAAACGAACGTGTAAATAGCTGCAAGCCAGAACAGCAGAAAGTCCATTGCATGTACAACATCCATCCACGAAATAGCTTCAACTTCCGGTTCGTCATCGATATCATCCAGAGACTTCTCTTTAACGATTTTGTCGGGTTTGATTTTGTTCTGGATCATTTGTCGTCTGCACTGAAGACAGTTGGCCAGTTTGACAATTGATGCGTAGAAGCGGTTGATGGGTTGCTCGGTTTCTTTACGAATAGATAGACGTATTTGTATTAGACAAACAGCGACCACCGCCGTGCTCAGCAACACCATCGTTGTCAAGTAAATGGCCATGAGGGACACGGTATCGGAGTTGTTAGGTAGTTGATCCGATATTATCGTGAGAAAAACTGCCAGTGCCAGGAACACGGTTATAGAGTATCCGGCTTTTTCGCCGGACTCAACTGGAAGAACAAACGTGAAAATATTTAAAATTGACAACAAGAGTACTGGCCCGATGATGTTGAAGAGAAAGAATAGTGGCTTTCGTTTCAGATGTAACGTAAACACGACAGCTGCTTCTTCTGTAACAACGTCCTGTGATGTGGAAGACACGAGTTCCCAAGCCGCATTTTTGACGTAATCGTCTAGAACCACGCCTTTATTACCTTTATGTATCTCGACTTCGACCTTTCGATAACTCCATGCAGTGAACTTCAGATCGCATTTTTGCGTGTCAAAGGGGAAGTACTTTATATTCACTGCACAGGTAGATTCAAATATCTGAAGAAAAATAAAACACAATTTAATTCAATGAAATTTCATGAAAAAATATAAAAGGTAATGGTGTTGGTATTTTTCACTCCAGATCATGGCAGTAAGTCACATTGAATTTACTAGAGCGCAGTTTATCCACCGCATCGTTCATGGGCATACTGTCGAACAAGTTAACAGTACTAGTTGCCTTCACTTTTGCAAGTAACGGATAACTTCAGTACCTGCCAGAGCAAAGGTACAGTGCAAATTACCGCAGAAAGGAATATCGTTATCATTCACCACGAAAGTGACCTGCACCGTCCGGAAATCGTACACGGAACGTCCGATTCACAGTCCAACGCTCTACCTATTGAGCTAAGAGGACTGCTCAATAAATATACATCAAATCTCACCCTGGCGCAGTCTGATCAGGATCCATGCTGTTCGCTTACAAACTCTATTACAAGTAGAGAAACTGATAGCGAACAGCGTGGATCCTGATCAGACTGCGCGGATGCGCAGGCTGGTCTGGATCCATGCTGGTCGCAAGCCCATTATGTTGGTTTTGTCGTGACGCGGCTCAAATGTTTGATATAATTTCAGAGCAGTAACACTTACCATTGAGGGGAACCACTGAACCAATCCATCGTTGTAAATCTGTACATTCAAGTACGAAGATCCCATGCCTTTAAATATAGCAAAGGTGTTACTGAGTGACAAATCCGGTTTCCATATGTCATCTTGAGGCTTTGAAATATAAAATTAATATGATTTAGGAAACGTGACATTATGCCCATCCATGGGTAGATATAGAGTGAACAATGAAAGTCAAAATAAGTTAACATTTTCTCATAATTCCTGTCAATTTTATAATTTACCCCACATGAACGATAAATAACTCAATAGGCCCTGTGAAATGTGTGTAATTATCCATCGCAATGTATCTGTAACTTTCAATTTATGAAAAGAGTAGGGCAGTCTTTTTATATTTTAAGGTAGATTTATTATTTACCCTTAACATTTTTAAATATCATGTGCTGGTCAATCACCATTATAACCACCAGTTTATTGAAATATATAGTCAATTAAAGTCAATTTGACAATGAAAAAAGGGCACAATATCACTTAAACGCAAATCATTTAATGACTTCCGGTTCCTTTAATTAACTTTTAAGCAAAATATGTTGTTTAGCATTTTCGGTAACTCGAATTTCAAGGGACTGGGCATTTTACTTCGAGAGAAACGGAATTCGAGTAACGTGGATCTGCCGCCATTACGTTTACATTCGTGAATGTATATACATGTGCCTGATTGAATGTTCAAAGTAGTAGGTTTGTTATTGTTGATTGGCCTTTTCGAAAACCTAGCTAAACACCGTTTTCCTGTACGTTTCGGATTTAGCTCTGGGGAATTATACCAAATGAAGTACATAACTTTCTAAAACGATATTTCTATTTTTATATGATAATTTTACCGTTTAAGGTGAAAAACTTGATGTGTTTGAAAATAATCTATGTTCTTTTAATATGTATTGCAAATTTTTCAAAGAAATGAATTGTTTTTAATAAAAATCAATAAAAGTAAAACAGACGAAGTGGCATCTTTCATGATAAATAAAGACATTTTCTGTGTAAACCTGTACATTTACTTTATATTTTGTATGGAATAATTCATTCAATGATATTTAATTATTTTCTTATAAAAAGTAACAGTTTTATTTCACTTTTATTCAAAAAAGGCTAAAAACATATAGCGTTCGTTGTTACTCGTATACACTCCATAAGGTGAATTCCCCAGAACTATGTACAGAAAGTACCGGAAAACGGCGTTTAGCTAGGTTTTCTGCAATATTTAACCGTTGAAATGACGGGTTTTCACTTGCATCTACAAATTATTAATGAACAGAAAGATATTATTTAAAATTTAATACATGTACATTCACAATTATTCGTAGCAATGACATAAATGCAAATCAAGTTGGTCAGTTTTCATCAGTAATAATATTAAGCACATATACAATAAGCACTCATGTCAATTCAGTACTATAGAAGCACAATAACACATTTATTTAAGAATGTGAAATAGTCATCGTACGAAAACGAAAGTTGCAAATATCGTGAACCGGATGTACATTAATTATACAAATGTCATTTACATTCATAACACACATCAATACCTAGTTAAAATATCAGACCTCACAACAGTGTTGAGAATGATTGCTGGCGTCATCCATTTATGCGTATCAAATTGAGGCTAATGCATCGCATTTTAAGCCTTAAATCATTTAAACCAGTCTACAAACATGTTATGCATATACGACTTAACTTAAACGAAAAATTAAAATCGAAGTGAACAAATCGGTACAAGGAAAAATCGGAAAATGTCATTTACGTTACTTAACACTACGAGCAATGTTCCGTTTTTATCCTTTAAACTGTATAAATCGATTATTGTTTTCTGAATAGCGTTTTACTATTTCATGTTCTGAAAAAATAGTAACAGTGAACATTATAGCTACAATATCACATTGCACAATTATATGACCGAGTGATTCGTGTACCGAAATATTGCTGCTCCTAAAACTTTTGAACCGTATGACTAAATTACGCAACGGAGATCTTCTGGTGCAAATGGCACACATTTTTGCGCAAGTTTGATTTTCTTGAAATATTGTGGTTGGAGGCATGCAGCTTTATACACTGTTTATTCCAATCAAATGATATAAATATTTTTTATGTAAATCTGGGACTTAAAAATGTTTGAGTAACATACTTTATGCCCGTTTTGGAAAATCTCTGTTGCAGAGGAAATGTTTCCATATACTTACCAACACACGAAAATCTAATACTAGTAATGGGATTTTACAAGAAACTTTTTTATGCTATTATAATAATATTATAATAGTATAAAAATGTTTCATGTAAAATTTCTTGACAAAAGGGAACAAGTTATGTTTTGTTATCAAACTAAATTCAAAATAAATGGTATATAATATATATAATTTATTTTGAATTTAGTTTGAAAGCAAAACATAACTTGTTCCCTTTCGTAGAAAAATATCCCCGATGTGCCAAGATAATGTCCATTTCTCCGGCATATAACTTTCAAAACATTATATTCATGAAGAGTAAAACAAACTTCCATTATGATACTATATTCAATATATAGAATAAATTCTATTTTGTTAAATAATTGTAAGTTATGAACATTCATTGTGCCTTTTATGCAGAAATATCTTCAAATGTTTTCGAATTAAACAAATCTTCTACAGCTGCAAAAAGACATCTCACATGTTTCTTTTTAAAGCTGCACGCATCCAGATGAGCCAAAATATTTCAAGAAATTCAATCTTTAGAAAAATGTACACAGATCTGAAGAAAAGTAAAAAGATTCAATATTTAATTAATAATTAACATGTTATGTGTGATTAATGACTGATTTTGCAGTATTAATCACTATAATTCTACTGCGTTACTAACGCAGTAAGAGGTATTTATGTATATTTTGACATCGTTTTGGTAATTTATGTGGATTGTAAGTGCCGTTTGCAATGTGTAATTTACTTCATTGTTCACTTAACAATACTTTACTTTTAAATAAATTTTCAAAATTTTCATGAAAATTAGCATGAATCTGGAGTTATCCTCCTTTAAAGAAGTAAACTTGTACAGTAGTTGATTTTACGACGTCGGCGGCGATTGCATGGGTGTCTCACGTGTCGTTTTTTTTATTTTCAGAATGATTTTGTGCTCGTATACCTACCACATATAGAGTCGAAACTGTTTATAGAAATGTTCACTGGCACACGAGGTTTTATATATTTATAGATGACAGTGTTATTGTCCTTCGTTAATAGACATCTGTTTTGTTGTTCCTTTTATATAACTTTTATGCAATGTACAGTAATTCATTAGCAACAACACGGATAAGTCAAAACCGTAAGGTTGATAAGTTTGAATCTAAACCCCTAAACCAATCACTTGATTTCTCTTTTTCTCTACCTAACTATAGATAGCAGCTGTGTGCTATTAATAGACTTGCGTTTCTGGAATTTACTTCTTGTTAAAATAAAAAAGTTAAAAAAAATAAACAAATTGCATTTTCCGTAACTTTAAAATTGGTTCTAATCAAACGAGTCATTGCTAAATGCCTTGGACGATTTTGTTTTTGTTTTGTTTATTTATTGTACATTGTTTATAAACATGCCACTTTAAACGTAAAATTAAATGTCCTGTAAATTAAAGTTCAAAGCCTGGTCATAAAAAAACCCTGGATCCGATCTTGTAGAGACTTTATCCTTACTTATCACGTTCGTATGTGTTTCAATTGTTTTTATTTATGCGACGTTTAAGTGCCTTTTCGTCACACATTGTTTGGCAATATTGACCTGAAACATTTGAATATTTAATGACCATTTGTCGGATTTCGAAGCACACCATACGCATTTTAAAGTATGGCATAATGGTATACATGGTAAGTTTATGTATAATATAAAGTTACCAACACGACACTTGCCTAACTAACCTCGGTAATAGGAGTTTCAAAGTGAAGGTTGTAGGTTCGAATCTTATCTGAAACTGTATTTTTTTATACTTGGCTTCTACTACGTATTTTTGTGCATTATACGACTGCACACATTAAAATATGAATCTTTACAAATAAACTTCTATATATCAAAGTTTTAAACAAAGGGATAATAAATTAAATACATGTTATATCCATAAATGCTGCATATGAATAAAAAATGATTAAAGAAATCTGAAAAACAAAATGTTTTGTGGAGGATTCGAGCTTGCAACTTTGCGATTGCTATGCTATCACTAACCACTAGGCCATCGGAGAACATTCCTATCATTATAATAAAATCAGTAATAAAGTACGGAAACTAACGAAAAATAATCCGAAAATTAATGAGTCTAAGGTCAATATCTGGTCCAATTTATGTGCATAAATAATATTGACCGCGCTCATGTGCGGTCTAAATAGCACGCCCCCTTGCTGTGATCTTCAGATATCATTTAAGTTGAGAGGATGTAAGTGGTTCCAGGTCGGGGCACACGAAAATAACCTACCACGAATAAAACGTCTACTCCGTTGTAATCGGAAGAATTCCAGGTCAAGTATTCATCTTCCCAATATGCCATTAAATACCCGGCAGTTTTCAGACTCTCTTCTTGCTCATTAAATTCGATCACAGCTGCAAACATAAACGATGTCTATAGTTAATCAAAGTGCTGCAGCACTGAATGCGACGGACATGCAACCGGAGAGACATTTAGGTTTTTTTTAGAAAAAAAAAAAAAACACAAAATATATAACAGAGAAAATTTGTTCCATACAAGTTCGAGATTTGTAGAGCAGTATATTTTGTGTCCCAATCTGATATAATCCAGATTTTCTACTTTCAAGCATTTAAATACAAAATGAAATTTATGCCTAAAAACTCTGGTCAAACTTGTAAATCAGTGTCATTATCGATTTATTCCAATGAATGATATGTAAATAGAAAAAAAAACTGTCAACGAAATATTTCTAAAATAAAACCATGCAAATAAACTTCAAGCATAATACATTATACATGTGAGAATGTTATTTAGAATTGCTTTGTGTTTTAACATAGTGGGCATATAGACAATAAAATATAAGTTATTTGTATTTTTATTTCTCTTGGATATGTACGTCTCATTAAAAATATTTTTGGTTAAAATCATCAGCAATTAATAGTGTATTTTTTAGTTTTTTTTATTTACAAGGGCCAGAGCACATCGTTTTTATTTTAATTTAAATGTCACTTAAGCACTACAGTGTTTAGTTGTCCTTTTCATTTTCACACTTTAATTCATTTAACTTGTTTGCTTCTTACAATTGTATAGAATTTCTAAAAGTATTGCATGTGAACAAAGTAAGTATCCGCTGGTTTATAACATGTATAATGTGTACTCCCTACTGTCCGAAAATCAGCACAGGTAAAGCAGAATCTATTTTTAGAATAGCGAAGGTTAACTCATATCGTGACCTAGAAAAATATGTAAACAAACCACAAGAATCGGAAGTAGAACTGATATTACAAGTTCCTTCAATAAAGATTACCATGAAAGACTACATGGTGGTAAAGTGTTGAAAAACTCTCTTGTTACATGCATTTTCAAAAATAGATATTTATACTAACCATTGTACCGTATCTAATTTATTAATAACTGCTGAATATTCAGCTAAACCCGCGGTATGAGTCACGAAAATAGTTCTTTTTTATTAATGCGCGAGTTATTCTAGAGTCACGAAAAACTTTTGATTTGTTAATAATAATGTTTTGTATAATGTAGAAATATTTATTTCCTACTAATAATTTCTTAGAACTCAGAGCTTACACCTTTATTATAGTATAATTTGTTGTCCTACATTTTCGACAGCGGTAAATCGTTTCGGCAGTAATTTGCATATTGCGCAATAATACTACGGGACTACAACGTTTTTATCAATCATATACGTTCATATTTTAACTTGGATAACTTAATTTGAAATTGAAAAGGCTAAATATGGAAGATTTTAAGATATCCCGACATAGTATGGGAGTTTTAAAGGATCAAATTCATGTACTATTCCTTGGGCTGTTAATCGGTTGAAGACACTTTGCGCGATTGTAGCAGACGAAATCCCATGTGTAGATGACTTAGCTCTGAACGCGCATGAGGGCGCGTCCGTCGCAAAAAGCCGTTAGTGTTGTTACAAAGAGCATGGTTGTATATCTGAAAATGGACTGAAACTAATTTGTTAAAGTGCTTCCGCATTTGATTTTCTCTAAGTGTGTCCAAAGTGAAAGCAATACGTGTATAGTGTTCCAATGCACTAAAACATACTTTAAACTTGATTTTGCCATTCATGAAATGTGCATAAAGCCTTGCAAAAGATATAACTTGATCTTCAGAAATTTAGCACATTCAAGGTAAGTTTTCTTGTTGTGATATTTTTTAGTTTTATCTAAACTAGTCCTTCAAACATAGACTTGAAAATGTAATTTCAAACTGAAATCTACCTAGAATAATCATTAAATTTTAGATTTGTGTTATCACTGCAGCAAAACAACTGGCTATGTTATTTATAAATTTACCTGAAAGTTTCGTAAATAACACTGACATTGACTACGTTTACGTACATACCCCCATAAGCCAGTGCTTCATATATTTAATTTTCAACTTGAAAATAATTATAGCAGACGGAACAAGAATATTGTTAATAAAATTGATTTGGAAGGGAATGTTGGTATATCGCAAACTGCAGGGTTTCCATCCCACGCGACCTGTGGCATCAAAAATGATATGGAAATGAATGGCGGCACACATTAACACACCTGTACCAATTTATATTTAATTGTCTAAGCTAGATCTCTAATTTCAAAACCAATCTGAAAACAAATTGAAGCACTGCAAAGCGTACAATTTTGTCTTTCCGCTATACCATTGTTACCATCTCGGAACGAATTGTTTTTGTTCAAACATTCGAAGTGCGGTTTTGAAGCGATACAGAATTTCAGGCGGATTTGGTTTACTTTGCGCGTTGCGTTGTCGATAGCGACAACACAACCTATTTCGTTATCGCCTTTCGTCTTGTCGCTAGCGAAACGCACCAAACGGCGTGTTGTCGAACTGTCATCTTGTCGTCCTGTCGCTAGCGAAGCACGCCAAACGGCGCGTTGTCGTGCGGGACATTGTTGCGATTGCGCCATGTCGCTTGGCTTACATATATATATACATACAAAAAGCCAATCCTTCGATTTGTGCCGAGCGACAAAGTGACATCGCGACAACACACCGCATGACAACGCGCCGTTTGGCGGGCATTGTTAGCGACAGGAAGACAAGACAAAAGTCCGAAAACGCACCGTTTGGCGCTTTGTCGTGCTGTCGCTAGCGACAACACGACGCACAAAAGTGTTCCAAATCAGCCACCATAGAAAATGGTAATTTGGTGTAAAGAATTGTTGAATTATATAATTTTATTGCTTGGCAATTTGTATAATTTCAGAAGTACATTAAGACTTGCATCTAACTTGTTTAACTGAAATTACGTTCCCAACCCTCTTCTCCGACCATGAATATTGTTTATGATTTGAAGAGGAGCTCGAAGTTTTATGATTTGGTGTGAAGCATTTTTAAGAAATCATATTATTTTGGACTAAATGCAACATAACTCCACCTTACGTTTAGGTTGTTTGCTGATGAATCGAGTGGTATTTCATCTAATGTGAAATCTAACACTTTTGAGGCAGAATGCCTCCGAGTTTAAACTGATGCCTGTGCTAGCGAACTGTCTTCTTCTTCACATTTGTAAGAAGACTCTTTTGAAGAAAATACGAGTAACTGTATGTGAGTTATACGACGATTAAGTGTTAAGAACAGAGAATTTCATAAACACATTTAATAATAGATAAATGTAATTGAAAAAGAAATGTATGTTCATGTTGAAAATATAAAACAACTGAAAATATTTGAAGGGCCTTTAGGCAGCTTAAGGTGTAGGCAAATTGCATTTGCACGGAATTTCATGCACTTACTCTACCAATACTGTTAAAATGGTTGCCTTCAATAGAGAGTCATAGACATAAGTTACTAAATGTTGAAACACACACTAAATATTTATTGCGTCAATATTATATGTACATGTATAATGTTTTGGGCCTGAAATGGTAAATTTCCTTACATGGATGCTTTACTTAATATTCATCGGTTAATGACCGTTGATTTGTTTTGCTTTGCTTTCTTTCTGACAGAATGTCAGACGCTATAAAAAGGTTTGAGCATATTCAAACGAACGAACAACTGTTAGTTTCTTAAAAGTTTAATGATAAAATCACCATTCCTGGAAATGGTCATCCAATTTATTCGATTTAGTTGCGCTCTCAAGTTCGCTTCAACTTTCTGTCCGTTTCTATGGTGTCCCGTTTGAGGCAGTTAAAATATTGACAGTTAAGATTTAAGATTGACCTATGTCCTATCTCTTGTTTTAGCTAGACTTCTAGTATTCGAAAAATAGGGAGACCTATTGTAATCATCCAGGCGTCGGTTTCGGCGTCGGTGTCACAATTTGATTAATTATTTGCGTGCAGGTTGGTATCTCCAAAACTACTGAAGGTTATGGATTAAAACTTATTTAAGAGCATAATAGGAGGTCACTATCTAAAAACCAAAAGTCTTATGCTGATTTTGACAAAACTATGGTATTTTTGAAATTAGAAAATTCTACATTATCCTGGCTCTTGTTTTAAGAAAAGCCGAGCGCTCTTGGTATTGTAAGTTGTTAAGTAGCGAGATATAACATTCTTTTTCGAAGAACATTGACTATAGTCACTGATACTGTAAATAAGCTACAGTTTTGAAGGAAACATTATTTTGCATTTACTTATCAAATATCTGTTCCAATTATCGGATATTGTATTTTTTATTTATAATATATAAGTATATAAGGTTGCCGGTTGAAGTTGCAGTAACAAAAACTTAAATAACGTTTTCCTTACCATGATATATATGCAGACCATCCTTCTTCTCCGTATGCGCTATATTATACGAACAAAAATACAACGAACAATTAATATTTGAAACTTTCTTGTTGTTACCCTAATCTTGTTTTTTTATTTCCCTCCGCCATTATTCCGTATCGTGCCATTTCACCTCGCTTAAAAAGGGAAAGAACCACAATACGCTCGACGCCATATTCTGCAGGATTTTGAGTCGGGGCCGATTTTTGCACAGGGGCCGATTTGGTTTGGGCCGAAACGTCCTGTTTTCTTCTGCATCGCTCCGAATGTTTCAACAAAATACGTCTTTATGGGTATCCGGGTAAAACAAAATTGTACTCTTTGCACTGCTTCAATTAGTTTTTGAATTGATTTTGAAATAATAGAACTAGCTTGGAAAATATGAATTGATATCGGTTAGTTAATGTGATTCAACATCATATTGTTTCTGATTTCAGAGGTCACGTGGGATGGTCACCCCGAAACTGGCCAGTTTAAAAGAAAATAAAACGTATTAGAAAGAAGCCCTTAATCGAACTTTGGCAAACATATTTGACGATGTCAGACGTCAATTATTTGATGTTTAGTAATACTTACAATTCAGGACGAAATCTAAATAAATAGGAACATATTGCATTTGATCTTGTAGAGGCCGGACGTTTTTATTGTATCCATCGGTGACGAACAATTTAGTGAGAAGGTTTTTGACGTCAGTCGCGGACTGTGACGTCACGAAGTCTAGTAGTGATAAAAGTATACATATCTTGACTGACCGCATGCCTCCGATGCAATTATCCCTGAAAAATTAAGCGACATAAAATCGATGTGTCAAAGTTATATGCATGTATGGTAAAGCAATATCCGCCACCTTGTCTTATGTGTTATTAAACATTCTAACATGCTATTTCTTTCTCTTATAAACACCAATGTATATAAACGAATTATTGATTATATTTATTTTCCAATGCACACAGATAATACAAATTAAACAAAATAATGATGACTCATTATGAAAGAACGGTTGCATACGATATCTTGTGTTGGAAAATAAAAGTATTCCCAAAAAATATTATACCATCAGATGTTGAATTTATTGAGGAAAATAATCAAATTCAATTTCATATTTTAAGACCGTGCGTGTGATTATCACGACATGTGATTATAACTTCGATGTTTTCTCGTACTATATGGTCTCACCCTGGTACGGAATTAGACCCAACCCGTTGTAGTAGAAAGTATTTTTGAAGTGGCAAAAAAATGTACTACCCACAAACGGTCAGGAGTTTTTAAAGTGGTGAATTTAAACAGTGTTACACAACAGAATGAAGATTTCTGGAAAACGTAGATGGCTAACACATTATATTCTGGGCCTAATTTGACTTAGATAGTGTTGATGTTTAAAGTTGAAGACAGTATATAATTCATTAAGAACAGTGGAATCGGGAATTAAGTCTCAACTGTGACTGATTTACTGTAGAACAAAGAGTACGAAAATTCACTAGGCCGACACCTATTATGTAAATGAGAAAAATGGGAACTAGTTGACGGATATTGATGAAACTTCGCATAATTGTTGTGTTCATTCATAGAAATCAGGATATTAAATGATAACTGACAGGTTTGAAAATTAAAAATTTCATTTCAAAATTTAAATTTTGACATTTTAAATTTGGACAGATGTTGTTATTGTTATCTTCCCTTCAAATGTAGATGTCTGCAACTGTGTCAATGAGCATTGAGAAGGGTACAGAGCTTTTGCATGAAAGATTTACCACATTTTATTGAATTAAAACTGTGATAATAAATTTAAAATAAAAACAAATGAAATTTAAATTTTGTATAAATCAATTTATAAATTTATTATTTTTATTTCTGTACCCTGTGTCTAGCAAAATATACCTACAGTTTCTAGCTTATTTGCATTTTTATAAGGTTCATATAGAAAATGATTTATTTTTTAGAGAGGTGCATCTTAAATTATGGATAAACCATGCATTGCAAGGAATTGGGGAGTGTGTGGTATCAGACTCGTTACATTGGTAAAAATGTGATTGGCAAGCTAATTCCAGAGATCTTAGGGGCCCAAGAAGCACCGGCCATGGGATTCGAACAAAGAACTGTAGTAGCCTATTGATCGTATGGACCACCACATTTTAGGCACTGATGTCTCAGCAAAGGATTAATGCTGCAACAACCAATATGTAAATAATTACAATTGTCTTGTATTTCAATGAAGCAGAACTGACAGTTGAACAGGGCAAATGTGATTTACATGTTGGAAATATAGACATTTTCAGTGTAGTGAAACTTGATGTTTTGCTGTGTTGCAGAATGTATTTGCTAATATATACACATAAATGATTTTCTAGTCATTTATCAGTGAAGTTTATGGATAATTGGCTCATTTAGAATAACACAGTTAATGTGATTGTTATTGTTGTTGTTGTAGCTGCTATGTACATTGCATCAGTTAAATTAGGTTAGGTTCATTATGACCAAACTGCTATTTTCAGGCATGAATTTTTAAGCACACAATATTTGGCCCTCCTACAGATGTGAATCAGCAAATCAAGCCATTAATTTAGACATTATTTTCTTTCTTTTTAGATATCAGAATAAATCACCATAAATGCCTCTTATAAAACCTTTAACTAGTGTTACATATTTTTGAGATCTTGCAGTTACCAAAGCCTGGGTTTGAGTATAGGCCCTTACCTAATCCTGGTTCAGATCTATGGAAGAACTCCTACAGCTCAGTTTGGCAACACATTGAGAAGGTAATAAATCATGTCTAGTTTGAAACTTCAGCTATTGGCGCGAACGGCTCCCATTGAATGCTCGGGCAATATTTGGTTGTTATTTTGATGTATATTAGGAGAAAATTTCTCTAATTCTGACTATTTTAAGACTTCTCAATAATTTAAAGTGGGAGACGGTATGTGCCATCTTTTTTAAGCCTTATTTGTGTGAGAGTTGGCTAATCTTACTTTCTCAGAGGACATAGCCTATTGTGCAATGGTAACGTCTTTACAAACCTTAAGATTACCTCTGTTTGTCTTTATATTGATATCTTAAGCCAACAATGTAGAGTATATTTGTTAATACTTTACTTTATTTACCATGGTATATAGGTAAAAGTCATTATCAGTAAGTTTTATAACAATATTGAAAGAAAAAGTTTAATTTAATTTTGATTACTTGTATTTTATCCCAAATTTTCATGTTCTCTTTAAAAGAAATGGAGTTTCTTTTACAATTTTAAAGCAATAAGGTCTTATCTCTCATAAAATATCTACATAACATTAGCCGGTAACATAAAACTTTATTTGAGAAAATCCATTGGCAGAATCGGAAGATATGACAGAACTTGTAATATAAATTTTTGCGTAGAAGTGGCCGAGCCTGATTTTTCGCATCGATGTTCAAATTTAAGAAATGGCTCTAAATTAATGTAATTTGCTGGTGGCATGTCAAACCTATTTACTGTCAAACCTGTTGTACTTGTATAACACTAAATTACTAGGAAATGAGTATAAATTTTGGCTTAAATTAAATTTTTGATTCATTTAGGTCTCACCCCAGTACAAAATTAGACCCAACTCGTTGTAGTCTAGAAAGTAGTTCTTTTAATTTTTGAGGTGGCCCAGTTTAAGTTCTCTCTAGTTTGATTGGTCATAATTAATGAGTATTTATTGCATGTGTACAGTTTTTATGTGTTATAGGGTGACATTAAAAGTTCTTTCTTTTGTGTATTCTCCGGGAACTCATTTGTTGGCGGAAGGCTTTCTTTACAAGCAGTCAGGAGTTTTCAAAGTGGTGAAAAAAAAAACACAAAAAAAACACAAAAAAACAACAACAAAAAACAAACAAAAAATAAAAACAAAACAAAAACACACACACAACAAAATGAAGATTTCTGAAAAAAGTAGATGGCTAACATATTATATTTTAGACCTCATTTGACTTAGATAGTGTTGATGTTTAAAGTTGAAGACAGTATATAATTCATCCAGAACAGTGGAATCGGGAATTAAGCCTCAAATGTGACTGATTTACCATATAATAAATAATACGAAAATTCACTAGGCCGACACCATATGATATTTATTTATATATTTTATTAGTCAGACAACTAACGTTTTTTTTCAATTAACCTGCTTCATAAACGCTTTCAGCATATTCGACATTATATAAAAAAACATTTTAAAAGATCCATTATCTTCATGGATCATGCATGAACTGATTAACAGTGACTACCTACCTAAACCTAAAAGGTAAAAATACATTATCATGTTGAAAGCATGTACAACGGCATTAATAAAAGACGAAGTTGTAGAATATTTAAAAATTGGTTTGGCACAAGAACGTATCATTTCAGTTTTAGTGAACAGAAATATTAATCATTCAGTTTTAGATATTTATTCTTACAAATGCATTACCTAGTATAGATTTTGCTTTATTAAATAATTTGTCGCTAGTCATCGTACATATAGCAATCAAGAATGACATGCCTTTCATCTTCAATACTGTCACAGAACGGGCATTTTTCTTCCACTAAATCTAACGCCCAGTTTCTATGTATAATGGCACCGATGCCGCTCAAGCGGGAATATAAAAATTGGTTCCCGGCTTCATATAATGGTAACGCCAACATTATTATGAAGACGATATAATTATACATGTAATGTTTGATTTACATTGAAAATGATGATTTCATGTCTGTCTATGAGTAAAAGTAACAGTAATAACAAAAGTTTGAAAGAACACGAGTTCTATTGAAAATTTCAATAAAATAAGTTGCACATTCACAAGTCATAAAATCATTACGAACAAATTCATGTAAAAATAAAAGATGTTGTTCAAATTAAAATGTTAACATTAATTAATAATATTCTTAATTCATATTAGAAAAAGTGACATACTAATAAGCATGCTTGCGTACAAACTTTTTTAAATAAATAAGAATTAGCATGTTAGAATATCAAATAACACAAAAACGAAGTGGCGGATATTTCCATAATTATTATATAAGAACATGATTTTTTTTTAAATTTTTTTTTTAAATTCATCATAAAAACTCAGTCACGGATGAATAGAAGCTAAATAAGACTAATACACCAGAGCGCTAAAAATGGTTTTGTGAATATTTAGTTGTTTATTTTTTGTATTATAATAATAATTGTCAAGATTCAGATTGACTTAGAGCTGTAAGGGTTTTTTTGTAAACAAATCATATAAAATGTATCCAGTATTGATTCAATTTCATTATGTCATCATTATATCATCGAATATTTGTCTGTGTACATGTAGTTTAAAAAACTACATCAGAAATGTAATAGAAAACAAAATGATTGAGTAAAACATTACTTATCTTGCAGTTGATTGTCCCCCTTGCTATTAAACACGACTTTAGAAGTAAACTAGAATATTTGTACTTCCAGTGACGAAATAGTTTAATTTAGAGTCGCACTGTACACATATTCAAAAAACTTCAACAATATTGACAATTATCTTATTACGAACAGTAGAGAGATATACGAAAGACCGTTAGGGTCATTTCAACTTCATGAATTCTCAATTTCATCTTCATGAATTCACAATTTCAACTTCGTGAATTCCCGTTTTCAGCATACGGAATTCACGAATTCACGATTTCAGCTTCATGAATTCCCGATTTCAACTTCACGAAATCACGATTTCAAGTTCATTAATTCACGATTTCAACCTTACGAATTAAACTTCGTGAATTCACGATTTCAACCTTACGAATTCAACTTCGTGAATTCACAATTTCAACTTCACGAATTTACGATTTCAACTTAATGAATTCACGATTTCAGCATCATTAATTAACGATTCTAACTTCATGAAGTCACGATTTCAACTTTACGAATTCAAGATTTCGACTTCATGGAATCGTGAATTCGTGAAGTTGAAATCGGGAATTCATTTAGTTGAATTCCTCAAGTTGAAATCGTGAATTAATAAAGTTGAAATCGTGTATTATTGATATGAAATTGTGAGTTCGTGAAGTTGAAATCGTGAATGCGTGAAGTTGAAATCAGGAATTCATGAAGATGAAATCGGGAATTCATGAAGTTGAAATGTCCCCACAGGTCTTTCGTAGAGATAATAAAAAAATGTTTTTTCATGTACTTAGGTTTAAGTCACACGTGGGTCGTTTTCATGCAATTTTAAGCATAAAGACAAAATATATTAAACAAACATAGAGAAATTCAAACTTCTTTCGATGTCATAGGCTTTTCATAAACTTTAAAGCCTTAACAAAAATATAAAAACATTTATAAATAGGTAAGTCTTTATTGTTCAGCCGGCAAAGACAATAACACGGCAATGTTTTCAATTTAATAAAAGGGATAGTTACAGTAAGTCATAACTGACAGACATATAAAAATAATGACGATGATGATGAAGATGATGACGATGATGTTGATGATGATGAAGATGATGATAATAATAATAATAATAGTAAAATAATAATAATAATAATAATAATAATAATTATAATAATAATAATAATAATAATAATAATAATAATAATAATAATAATAATAATAATTATAATAATAATAATAATAATAATAACAATCATAATAATAATAATAATAATAATGATAATAATAATAATAATAATATTTTCATTTTTAAAAGGTAACACATGAAGATATACTATCGTAAAAATACAAATAACATATGTCTTTCCTTTTACCTAATTGGTGTTATTTTATTTGGAACATACAATAACATTCTATTGTGGCAGAATAAAGTACCTCTGTTATCAACTTAAGTTTAATCTGATTAAAGTTAGACCCATATTTTAAATTCTTTTTTTTTATAACAAGACATTTTGTCATAGTATTGAGTGGTCAATGTTTTATAAGACCTTAAGATAATGTAAATTTTATTTACAGATTAACAAGGGCATTTAAACTTTAAACTGCTGATATATAGATAATATCACGGATTTATATGTAATATAAATCCAACAAAATGGTATGTCTCATTAAGATAAAAATGGACAATGTATATTAATATTTGTGAATGTCGTGTATATTTTGATAAGAATTCATTAAGAAATAAATATTTGTGAAATAGTGTTAAGAAACAGCAGCTACTCTACGGTGTTCCGTTAGGGCCAGGACGTTTTCTCTGAGAACGAAATGCGCGAAACATGACAATACGATGGTGACAGTATAACAGTACGATGGTGACGATGACCGAAGCACGACAGTACGATGCTGACAGCCTGTGGTACCCTCACCATCGTACTGTCACCATCATACTGTAGTATTATAACCATCGTTCTGACGTACTGTCACCATCGTACTGTCACCATCGTACTGTCGCACTGTCACCATCGTACTTTAGTATTGTCACCATCGTACTGCAAGATCGTGACGGTACAACAATAAGATAATGACAGTACGACATAACGAGATGGTGGCAATATGACAGCACGATGGTAACGGTACGACAATACGATAGTGACAGTCAATGGTGACAGTACGATGGTGACAGTACGGCAGAGCGAAGTTTAGTGTTTTTGTTCTCAAAACACGCTGGTCCTAATGAAACACCGTAGAACACCGTACTAACCAGTTCAATAAATATTATGATAATTAGTTAAAGCTAAATAGTTTTGCTAGGGTGTTCTTATCAAAATTGCCATCTTTCTGAACGAGGTTAGCAGAGGTTTTTAATTATGTAAATAAAGCATCGAAAAGAAAGGTAACTCTTCAGTTACATATTGGCAATCTCCTACGCACGTATCTCCCCTTAATTCTACTTATAAAGGGAAGTAACCGTGGAGTTTGACATATTGGAAGTGCTTGCAGAATGATATGTAGTCTCTTACGATTCTCATCAGAAAGACCATACATTTTATGTTTTACAATTTGTAATTGAAATGTTGTTTTGTATGGATGAGACTGCAATAAATGTTAATATACATCTATATGCGGCCTTCTAAATAATAATGAAACACAAATAAAAAACATCATCAAACAATAATAACTATTCCAATGTGTGAATTAAGATTTGATTCTTTACTTCTATGACCAACTAATAGATTTTTGTTTCGCCTCTAAAGGGTAGTAACGACATATAGGGATCATTTTCGTCGTTTGTCTCTCCGTCCATCTGTCTGTCTGTCTGTCCGGGCAAACATCCAATGCTCTATGAGCTTCATTCCGCCCATAATCTTAGTTTAAAAAGGAGGAAATTCCATTAACCAACTGGTTAATGTGGTAATTTTACTGATTTATGTGAAAAAGTGCCACATAAAGATCGAAGAAAAAGCACAAAAAACCAATTGTTGACACGTCCGTCCGTCCGTCCGTCACAAAACTTGACCGGACTAATCCTAAAAAAAATACTGGAGCAATTTCATTCAAACTTTATAGGATTTATCGGTACCAACTACCAAATCGTTTTGGTTCAATGATTTTTGTCATAGTTATGGCCCTTTAATAATCATTAACTTTAAAGATTGTCAGTACCACTTACGCAATTTCAATATAAATTTACAGGGTTAATGAGTAGGTCAAGTACTCGTGCTTATTGCACAGATTTTCCGGTTAGATTGTGAGACATTAATTTTGTCATTGGTTTCTGCTCCTCGTCCATGATTTTATTTTAATTTTATTCTGATAGAAACCGGCGCTTACTTGTATAAAGGCAAAGGGAAACGCAAAATTAACCGTATAGAAGCCGTTTAGGTTAATCACCTCGAGGGTATTGCATATAGAAATTCACCAAGGTTATAAATGGTTCAAATGATAATGAAATAATTAAAAAAGATAAAAATAAAATAAAAATACAAAGGTGTCATAACGCGAATAAGGGCGTTATTACGCGAATTAAATGGCGTAGCAACACGAAAAAAGTCGTAGCAACGAAAATAAAGGTGACGTAACGCGAACATAGGCGCTATAACGCGAATTGAAAGGCATAATTACGCGAATAAAAGGCGTTATAAGGCGAATAAAGGCGTAGTAACGCAAAAATGGCATTAACACGCAAATCGAAAGGCGTAATTACGCGAATCAAAAGGCGTAATAAAGCGTATCACAGCATTGATTTTATACATCCCACTAAAGTAAATAAATTTTCTTTCTTATTTTATCTTATATCTTATCTTATCTTATTTTATATGTGCGTCATTTGTTCAATTATCTACAGATATGTCCTGTATAATTACCTAATAACCTGTAGTATCTTCTAATTATGTGAATGTCGTTCCTAATAAAGCTATACTAGGTAAAAGGCCTTAGGTAAAACGTAAGGTATAAGTTAGTCACATTAGGGTGAAAGAATATCTAAATTATTGATAGGTAGCTTAAAAGGGTGCAATTGTTTCAGTTAAGTCATAATTAGGAGACATTGTCATCTTGTCTTTTTAGAAAAGTATCTATAGTTGGGTGATAGTTCACCTCTAATCTGACGAAAGCATTTCCTTATAAAAGATAAAAAAACCCCACCAGACTCTGGCCTTAGGACGGATGAAAACGTACATCTTGATCAATTCATATAAATCAACATTGTTCTTCCTTTCTTATATTACTAGGCCACTGATAGGAATTATATGGTATTATATTAGCGTTATAACGCCTTTTGCTTTGCGTTATTACGCCTTTTGGTTCGCGTAATATTACGCCTTTTAGTTTGCGTTATTATGCCTTTTGATTTGCGTTATTAGAGGATATTTGTTGGTTTGTGTGTAAGATGAAATTTTATTTCATCGAGTGGGCTTTAAAAATAGTATTCTCACTGGTGGCGTAGCCACGAGTGAGAATACTGTTTTTAAAGCCCACTCGAGATGAAATAAAATTACATCTAAAACAACAAACAAACAAATTTTCTTTTTATTTTATGCTTAAAAACAAGTTAAAACGAAATTTCCTTAATATTTACGTTAATATTAAAATCTTTTTTCCCCATTTAGAGCCTCAAAAAAGTCGAATTTCTCATTAAATACAAGAAGTCATGGGCTGAAAAATAAGTTCCACAATCAACGTTAAATGGTGGTAATAGTATTCATTTTATTAAAAAAATATGTCTGATCGCTTGTTTAAATAATAAAAACAAACAATTCTAGTAGGTGAAAAAGTCCAACCATTCATCCATATTTCTGTTACTGACTGCGAATTTATATTTGACCTGTAAGCGGCCGCCATTTTTAAAGTTGTGCATTTCACTGGAGGAAAATAATTGTGTTTGATTCAGAGGGATATCATTTGGATTTGTTAGTCATACACCTTTTTAAAAGAAAGAAAACTTATTTGAAGATTGTAACAGACAATAAATAAGTGTTTACAGATGTGTAAACATTCAAAAAAGTGGATAGGAAATTGGAAAACTCGGAAGCCTTACGAACGCTGGGTTGTTTACATATTCTTCGACTGAAAGCTGCCA